AAAGTAACCCTTCGTTCCCCGAGGAGGGGAACGGAAGCACTATAAGTGGATTTGATGTTCTAAATCCACGTATGGGAGATTCGGTTCAGAAGCTGAAACGTCTGAAAGAGTATTGAACGGGCCAATTAAGAATGAATTGGCAGCGCAAGCCTGCGCAGGTGTACTGCATAGGCTTAATAAACTGAGCATATAAGCACACCTGGCGCCAGCAGACGCTATCCTTTTTAAGCTGAAGAGACTTTTAACAGCTAAGGGACAGTCATTATGGCGACGGAGTATAGTGCTTCCGTTCCCCTTCACGGGGAACGAAGGGTTACTTTAGTAACCTCGAACGTTCCCCTTCGGGGGGAACTCCAGCACTATAAGTGGATTTGATGTTCTAAATCCACGTATGGGAGCCCATTGAAAGCGCCATAATGACTGCACCTTACCAACACCCATCATGAGAGAGCGGTCAGGCAAGCGTGACGCATCCAGATCATGAGAGGCGCGGTCCTCCAACGTGCCCTTGGCCCTAACTTATCCCACTTCAAAAGAAGTTTTACGGAATAGGTATATTTTTTGGGAGTCGCTAGCGTCTAGATAATTCTAGGAATATACGACAGTACGTTGGGAAGCGTGCCATCCCAGTAGGGGAAACAAATGGAATTACATATGGACTAACCCTGAGAAGGGGGAGTGCGCATAAGAAGGTGGTTAGCAGATAGGGAAAGCACGGGTCCACCCAGGGGGGGAACTTAACCGTGGCGGAAAGCATATGGGGATCACCAGCGGGGATCGGCCATAACAGGCACCTATACCCAAGACGCGGGCTGACCAGCGGGCAGACCTACAACGTAGTGGGCCAGCAAGTGACTCCTCCGCTGAGTCAGTGCTGGGGGCCTCGGAGGAATCTGCAGGGCTCACCGAATGGGGAACTTTACTGACAGACAGGAGGGTGCACATCTCTCCGTGTTAGGGGAAAAGGCACCGCAAGCGTGTACAACACCAACCGAGTTGTTTCCTCAATCACCAAAGGTACCTAACACCCTTGAGGAAACCGGCTCCACTCGCAGATTATAAAATCTTGCAAATGTGTTGGGTGTCGCCCAGCCCGCAGCTCTACAAATGTCTGTTAAAGAAGCGCCGCGCGCACACGCCCAAGAGGATGCAACGCTCCGAGTGGAGTGCGCACGCACTCCCGGGGGGCGCGGCTGACTTCTGCTCAAATAAGTACATGAATGGCCTCCACAATCCAGTGGGATAAACGTTGTTTAGACACGGCACTTCCCTGCTGCCGTCCGACAATAGACAAAGAGCTGCTCAGAAGATCTAAGTTCCGAGTACGGTCCACATAATGCGCAGAGCGCGAACTGGACAAAGTAAGGACAGGGCTGGGTCTGCCTCCTCCGGGGGCAGCGCTTGCAGGGTTACTACCTGATCTCTAAATGGGAGTGGTAGGAACTTTGGGCACATAACCCGGGCGGGGTTTTAGGATAACGTGAGAAATTCCGGCCCGAATTCCAGGCACGAGTCACTGACCGAAAATGCCTCCAGGTCCCCGACCCTCTTAATGGAGGCCAACGCGACCAGCAGAGCTGTCTTTAGGGACAGAAATCTTAAAGATAGTGTATCGAGTGGCTCGAAGGGATCAAATCGTGAGAACGAGGGCGAGATCCCAAGAGGGCGTGAGAGGGGGGCGAGTTGGATAATTCGCCTAGCGCCTCTGAGGAACCGGATGATGAGGTTATGCTTTCCCACGGTGCCACCAGCCACCTCGTCATGGTAAGCGGAGATGGCGGCAACGTAACCTTGAGAGTGGAGGGCGACAGCCTACTGTCCAGCTTCTCTTGAAGGAAAGAGCACAACACTGATCTGGCAAGATCGGGGGTCTTCTCTGCGAGAGACTCACCATTCAGTGAATAAACTCCACTTCAGGGCGTAGGCGCGCCTCGTGGAGGGGGCTCTAGCCTGAGTGATGGTATCAACCACCGCGGGCGGCAGGTTACCTAAGTCTTCCTCGCGTCTATGGACCACACGTGGAGGTTCCAGAGATAGGGGCGAGGGTGCCAGACGGTGCCTTGTCCCTGAGAAAGTAGGTCCTCTCTCAAAGGGATCTGCCATGGGAGGGCCGTCGCGAGGAGGGAGAGCTCTGATCACCAGGTCCGGTTGGGCCAGAGGGGCGCAACTAACAGAACCTGTTCCTCATCCTCCCTGACCTTGCACATTAACTGCGCGATCAGGCTCACTGGGGGAAACGCATACTTGCGTATGCCCCGAGGCCAGCTGTGGGCCAGTGCATCCGTGCCGAGAGCCCTCGGTCAGGGAGTAAAACAACTGGCAATGAGCAATCCCGGGGGAAGCAAACAGATCGATCTGGGCCTCCCCGAATCGCGCCCATATCAGCTGTACAGACTCGGGGTGGAGTCTCCATTCTCCAGAGTGAATCTGCTGCCGTTAGAGCACATAGGCTGCACGGTTGAGCATACCTGGGATGTGAATGGCGCTGCGACTTCAGCCGCGGGTGACTCCAGAGGAGCAGACGGCGGGCGAGCTGAGACATGCGGCGAGAGCGCATACCCCCCATGCGGTTGATATATGCCGCCGCCGCCATACTGTCCGTCCTGACCAGCACGTGTTGTTGCTCCAGCACCGAAAAAAAAACGGCGGAGAGCAAGGAACACTGCCAACAGCTCTAGGCGATTGATATGCCAATGCAGCTGGGCACCTACCCACAGGCCCACAGCTGCATGCCCGCGACACACGGCTCCCCAGCCTGTGCTGGAAGCATCTGTCGAAACAACAACATGACTGGACGCCTGTCCCAGAGGCACACCGGCCTGCAGGAACGAGGGGTCGTTCCAGGGGCTGAGGGTGCGGCTACACAGCGCAGTAACAGAGACTCGGTGTGTGCCCGCATGCCATGCGCGTCTCGGAACTCGGTCTTGAAGCCAGTGCTGAAGTGGTCTCATATGGAGCAATACGAGCGGCATGACAGCCACAGCGGAAGCCATATGCCCCAGGAGCCTCTGAAAATATTTCAGTGGGACCACTAACTTGCTGTCGAGCTCCCTCAGACAGTTCAGCAGCAGGCGAGCGCGCTCTCCGGAGAGGCGCGCTACCATGGTGACCGAGTCCAACTCCATTCCGAGAAAAGAGATCCTCTGCACCGGGGCGAGTTTGCTCTTTTCCCAGTTGACCTGCAACCCCAATCGGCGAAGATGCCGGAGCACCTCGTCTCTTTGCGCAGTCAATTACTCCCGAGAGTGGGCTAAAATCAGCCAATCGTCGAGACAATTGAGTGAGCGGATGCCCGCGAGCCGAAAGGGCGCTAGGGCACCCTCCGCGAGTTTGGTGAAGACCCGCGGAGACAGAGAGAGCCCGAAGGGGAGGACCTTGTACTGCCATGCTCGACCTTCGAACGCAAACCGCAGAACTGACGGTGGCGTGGAAGAATGGAGACATGAAAATACGCGTCCTTCAGGTCTATGGCTGCAAACCAATCCTGAGGGCGGACGCATCAGAGGATGCGCTTCTGCATAAGCATTCTGAACGACAGCTTGTGAAGGCAGTGATTCAAAACGCGCAGATCTAGGATTGGCCGTGACCGACCGCTCTTTTTGGGTACGATGAAGTACGGGCTGTAAAATCTGCTCTCCATCTCGGCTGGAGGTACCGGCTCGATTGCACCCTTCGCCAGGAGGGCAGCAATCTCCTCTCGCAAGACAGGGGTGGACAGGGGATTAACCCTGGTGAATACATGCCCGTGAACTTGGGAGGCCGTTCGAAAACTGCAGTTCGTAGCCGAGTCTGATCACGCGTATGAGCCACCGCGAGGGGCTGGCCTGCGCTAACCAGGCAGGCAGAGCCCTCGCTAATGACGTCATCGCAGCAATCATTGACGTACCCGCGGAGGGGCAGCGCGGAGCGGGTGTGCTAATCCGGGGAGCGCGAGGGTCCCACAGAAGAGCTGGAGGAGAGCGATTCACTCTGGCTCCGCACCCTGACTCCGGAGGGGGGGCTTGGGGGCTGGGAGAAGGGAGACCGTCCCCCCAGCGCCCGTGAGCCGCTGGCGGAGCATGCAGACCTTGCGAGCTGAGAGGCGGCGCGTCCCAGGCTGGCAGGGACTGCAGTGCCCGTGGGCCACTGGCGGAGTGCACCGAACCTACGAGCTAGAGAGCTGAACTCAAACTGGCAGATTTCGGGCTGTCACCTCCGGGGAAGTGGAAAAGTGCCCTTTCATTTTATGGCAGTAAAAGGTGCCGTTGGAAATGGCGCCCCGCCCTCCAGCGAGGAAAGAGCAAGTTCCCTCCTCTCCAGATGACCTGTCCCAGGGACGCTTCGCGGTCCAGAACCGCACAGTCGGAGCGCCGTCCTGAAAAGGACGTGCTGCACGACTGTGTTGCTCTTTTAGGATGCTTTGCAGCAATACGCACTGCTCTGGAGGACCGGACCCAAAGGGACGCCAGGCAAGGGAGAAACCATCTGCCGCTGCGTGGACTCGCTCTGGACCTGGAGGAAACCCACACGAACACGGGGAGCTGTAAGGCGACAGTGCTAACGCTGAGCCACCGTGTCGCCCCTGCATGTATATCAATTAAGAAAAATGTATATAAACATTTAGATATCTACTTACTAATTTAACTTTTTTCTTTGGTCAGATGGGTTCAGGTAGTACCTCTGTCCTGCTGCGCTTCAGCATAACTCAGCAACCAAAGCAAAATGACCACCTTGTGTCATATAAAATACACAAAAAAAAAACAACCTTTTTTTTGCACGTTCAAACTACTTAATTAAAATGAGCTGAAACAACACAATTTTTGAGATTTCATTGGGGCAACCTAATTTTTTTATGATAAATCCACACAAATTTGTTAAAAGTGTTAAGTTAACTTAATCAGTTTGTGTTGGGTCGACATGAATGAATTATGTGGAACTCTGCATTTTTTACCGACCAATCAGCGGGGTTGTCAAGGCAGAATTTCAAGCGCAACTAATCATTTTAAACAGACACAGAAGTTGTTTGCTGCCTAATGAGTAAGTTAAGCACACCTGTTTAAGTTTTGATGCCAAAACTTATTTTTATTTTACATTAATGTATTTTAAGTAATGTCAAGTTATATTAACTTTTAGTATTGACAACAGTGGGGTTTACAGTGTAGTTTTAAAGAAATAGGTCACCCAAAAATGGAAATTCTGTCATCATTTATTTTACTTCATGGGGTTTTAAACCTTTTAAGACTTTCTTTTTTCTGTTGAACACAAAAGAAGATATTTTGAAGAATGATGTTTGATGGCACCCATTTAGTCACCCAGTAGGACTTCCACAGTTGTAAAAAAAAAAAAACTATGTCAGTCAATAACAGCATTTTTTAAAGTATTTTTTTAAATTATAAAATATCAAAATAAGCACCATATTTCAAAATATTTTAAATATGGTTTTTAAAGTAAATAAAGTGAGTAAATGATGACAGAATTTTTTTTTTTAGGTGAACTAACCCTTTAATTTAAGCTCTTTCTCCATTAAAATTTAATTTTAGATTACCAACGACAACAGGTTTGGAGTAACATGAGTGAATTATGTTAGAATTTTACTTTTGTTTTGTGCGTTAACGATTCTTTAAACTCAAGTTTACTTAGAAACAATTTCCTATGAAACAGGAGCTTTTGCTTGCAAATAACAACCATCTGTCGCCTTCATTTCCTCCTCATTGTCCATCAACTTCTGTTATTTAAGGCTGTGCTGGCTCTCGTGGTGTCTGCGAAGATCCACCTTCCTCTGAAAGCCTTTGGAGCAGATCTCGCAGCCAAACGGCTTGAATCCAGTGTGTTTGCGGCTGTGTGTGATGAGATTGGAGCTCTGGCTGAAGGCTTTACCGCACACCTGGCATTTGTGAGGTTTTTCACCTGCAAACAAACAACGTTCAATCTATTTTAAAACATGTAATGTACAGGGTTTGAAATTACTTGAATGTTATTCAACTGTTTTCAAGGTTTAGATTTAGGATAAGGTGTTTGAAACTGCTTGGAAATATAATTGTGTTGATTTCATAATAATTGATCTTACTAAATAGTTAATCACATAGGTAACACTTTATTTTAAGCCTCAGTTCATAATTATAATAAACCACTAACAGGCCAAATCCCGATTCTATTTTTGTACCCCTATCTCTTCCCTTTCCCCTTGGCCCTTGAAACAGAGTGTGAAGGGAAAGGGCTTCAAAATGTACCCCTAAGAAATGGTACACCACTACAGCACCAGTATTTATCTTTAGGAAACCAATGAAGGCAAGGATATCATGTTATCAGTTCGATGTAACGTGGCAATTAACTGTCCTGTGCATTTACACCGTGGCCATATTCATCTATGTAAACACACGAAAACATTAATGTTATAGCAGACACTGTAAAAAGGTCATTCCCCGCTGCTAGACTTTTCTCGCAGGGTATTCGAGTATCATCCAGTGACAGAATGTTGTGGGACTGCTGTAGAGGAGTTAATATTAGGGATTATAGGTTTTTTTTTTAGCGGTTTTTTAAAAAAATTTTTAAGCATGACGGTAAAACACGAACGCTGTTATGAATGATTTAAAACATGTGCTTGTATGTTGTAAAAGTTCGTAATAATGAGAAAAAAAAAAACTAATTTGTGGATCTCCTTACTTCCGTGTGCAGCCAACGCAATCTCGTGGCAATTGGTAATTTTTTGATTTAGTGGATAACTCGTATGATTTTGTACAATCTAATTCATACAGTTTAATACAATTTGCTCATCCCCCAATGACGGTTGAGGTTAGGGGTCAAGTTATGAGCCATGCCTCCTTTTTAAAATTGTACATTTTTGTACAAATTAGCCACTAAACTGACAAAACGTAAAATACTTACATTTCCTTGTGAGATCAGGGTGGTGCAGCCATGCTGCCGTTGTGGATGGCGTATTTTGGGAAATTTTTTTACCACTTAGTTTCGAGTGTGGTCCTGAAAAATCTCAGTTTCAAGGGCCATCTAGTGCTTTCTCTTAGCCCAAATGAGAGGGGCTAGAATTGGGATTGGGCTTAAGGCTATTAGCTCAATATACTGCTAATTAGCTGCTTATAGTTCGTAAGATGGAAGTTTAGGTTTTGGGTAAGATTAGGGATGTAGAATGAAATCATACTTTATAACTTATAAACAGTTCCTATCTTAATAATAGGTACTAAACAAGTTGTTATTAACATGAATTGTGACCTAAAGTGTTAACCATATAATAAAATAAACCTTTTTGCTCTTGCATTAAATAAAATTTTTTTAGGTTTTTAAAATAAATATACATTTAAATGACATTTTAGAGTGTAAATAAGAGGAATTTAATGTTGGGGTTTAGGCAAAAATGCCATCAAACATTTTTATTTAGAATGCTTCACTTTCGTCAATTGGTGAAGTTTGTTCCTTGCCACTGTCACCACTGGCTTGCTTGGTTGGGACTTGTGGAGCTGCGCATCGATGGATTTGCTCTTCAGTGTTTGGACTTTTAGCAGTGAAATTTAAACCACAATGAACTGAAATAAAAACTTAATTAAACATCAATTGTGAAAACTGGACTGACAGTTTCAATTCACTACAACTTCTATATTAAGCTGCTTTGACACAATCTACATTGTAAAAGTGCAAGAGAAATAAACTTGAATGCAATAACAATGATATAATGTAACAAAATATGCATGTAAATATGTCATTTGACAAACTTGCAAAATTCTGGACACAGTTGCAAGAGCTTACATTAGACTTTAGAAAAGGTGTTAGGATCCTAAATTTAAAAGCCTGTGTTAACTAGGAAATCTTTGATTAAAAAAACAGAACTGCTTGTAGCATGGATTTGCGTGCCACCCAGATTTGTTCTGTTTTCTAACACAGGAGTGGCTGTCTGCTACATGCAAAGTGAACTTTCCGAGAGGCTTCGGCAAAGCAGGAAGACCAGCTATGCAAATCAAGGCAGCATTTGTTTAATCTTCTTTTCTTGATTTATCTTTGGCGCTCTTGGAAACACACCCTCGAAAGCAAGCCAACTTCAGCATCTGAGTGAGGTGAACTTATCTGTTAAGCGTATTCGGTTTTAATGATTTACATGGAATGAGTGCAGAGATAACATGCATTTCCAAATAATATGCAGAGAGTTTTTGGGAAACTGTTACTGAGGTGGCATTAAACCGCATGTGTGTTTGTGTGTAATTTGTTTTATCAGTGCCACCATCTCTTTTCAAGCACAACATGACAAACATACAGGCGTCTCACCTGTGTGAATGTAGGTGTGTTTCTTCATGTCGGATTTCTGATGGAAGCGTTTCCCGCAATATTGACAGGGATATGGCCGTGTGTCTGAGTGGATCAGCAGGTGAGTGGACAAAGTTGAGGAGCGCTTGAAGGTTTTACCGCACATTTTGCACTCAAAGCTTCTTTCCTGTAAACACAAAACAAAATTACTGTAAGTTCTGTTATCCACCCTTTTCCTGTGCTCCATGATGCCTTGTGTGAAATATGGGAGTCACTTCACTTAAACTGTAAGCAATCAGGGAATTTTTTTAATTACCTTATTTTCTTTAAATATTTCTTTAAAGTTTTGAATTTAAATCTGCTAAAGTCATTCATTCATTTTCTTTCTGTTTAGTCCCTTTATTCATCAGGGCTCACCACAGCGGAATGAACCGCCAATTTATCCAAAATATGTCTTACAAAGCGAATGGCCTTCCAGCCGTAACCCAACAGTGGGAAACACCTGTACACTCTTACATTTACACTGATACACAACGGCCAAATTCATTCATTCATTCATTTTCCTTCGGCTTAGCCCCTTTATTCATCAAACTCGCCACAATGGAATGAACCGCCAACTAATCCAGCATATGTTTTAGACAGCGGATGCCCTTCTAGCTGCAATCCAGTACTGGGAAACATCCATACACATTCACATTCTCACAATTACACAACGGCCAAATTCATTCATTCATTTTCTTTCGGTTTAGTCCCTTTATTCATCAGGGCTCGCCACAGCAGGATGAACCGACAACTTATCCAGCATATGTTTTTACACAGCGGAAGCCTTTCTAGCTGCAATCCAGTACTGGGAAACACCCATACACTCTCAAATTCACACACATACACTACGGCCAAATTCATTCATTCATTCATTTTCCTTAGGCCTTGTCACTTTATTCCTTGTCACTTTATTCATCAGGGCTCGCCACAGCAGAATGAACCGACAACTTATCCAGCATATGTTTTACACAGTGGATGCCCTTCCAGCTGCAACCCAGTACTGGGAAACACACTACAGCCAATTTAGCCTATTCAGTTCACCTATAGTGCACGTCTTTGGATTGTGGGGAAAGTGGGGCACCTGGAGGAAACCCAAGTGTACACATGGAGAACATGCAAACTCCACACAGAAATGCCAACTGACCCAGCCGGGGCTTGAACCAGCAACCTTCTTGCTGTGAGGCGACGGTGCTAACCACTGAGCCACCATGCCGCCCTTACCACAGTCAAAACAAAGAAAATAATCTAAGGGAACCAAATAAACTGTGAACTAAAAAGAGCTTATTTGGCCACAGTTATGACTGTGAAATTAATGTCACATTAAAATACCCCACATAACATCCCATTCATGATGGATAAAAAATAAAGTGTAAAAAATAAATAAAGTGTACCTCCCTTATTAAAAAGTATATTTTAAATTCATTTTATAAAGAATATAAGTTGAATTAAATATCAAGTATACTACATATAGTAAGTATTCTATGTACTATTAGTATATTTAGTAGCAATTGTACTACTTGAATTACCACTTGGGACTAAGTTGTCTTACAGTAGTAAATTTTAGGTGCACAGCTAAATTTATCATTTGTACTGGAAGTGTAAGTTAATTATGCTTGTTAATTGTGGTGTCCTATGCTCTGAATTTCCTGGTGAATAGCTGGTAGTGCCAGGACTCAAACCTGCAAAGACTGACTCTCTATCCACTAGGTCACAAACTAGCCTACTTGTAGTTTTGTACTGCAATGGTTCCTAGTGTACTTTTAGTTAACTGGTGTTTTTTAGTGCTATGCTGCAAGTGTTGCTAAAAATTTTTCACTAGAGATCATTTGTTATACAAGATGAAGTGTGCAACTTGTAGTAGCCGATTTGGAATAACCTGAAGCTATTATTGGACAAATTTGTACTAAAAATTGTGTATTTATTGCCTTTCTACACTTATAACACAAATAAAGTACACTTTCATATCAATAATCAAGCATCTAATGAACTTTCACAGGCAAATACTTAAAGCTGTTCCAATTAAGCAGATAAAAGTACAATAAATACACTAAAAGTTATGCGCTGCTATAATTTAATTACAAATAAATATACCTATAAAATTAGTATTCTTCCTAAGTAACATTAGATAGCAAAGTAACAATTAGTCTGGCTGCAAGAATAATTAGCATATTTGTTTTTTAAATTGATAGCATAATAGCTTTGAATAAAAGTCTTTGAAGTGCTTCTTTTATCCTCGGTTGTGAGCCACTTTGGATAAAAATCCTCTGCTAAAAGAACAGATGTAAATGAAAAGTCTGAAGTGAACTGGGTCAGTTTGGTTTGTTCTTACCTGTGAGTGGACGTTCATGTGTTGCTCTAGACTGACTGCATGGCCGAAGCTCTTTCTGCAGATGCTGCATTCAAAAGGTCTTGTACCACTGTGAGAGCGGCGGACATGAACCTCCAACCCATGAGGCGTGGAAAACACCTAGATAAGACCACACAAATCAACAAACACGTTGACGTATATCAGTGTGTGTGTAAGTATGTACTGTATGTATGTTTGTGTGTGTGAACAGGGGCAGACTTAGTGATTCAGGGGCCCTAAATAGTTCCAGTTGGATTCAGAATTATTAGCCCCCGTGAATTATTAGCCCCTGTTTGTTTTTGTTCCCCAATTTCTGTTTAACGTTGAAAATATTTCTTTAAAAAATTTCCAAACATAATAGTTTTAATTACTCATTTCTAATAACTGATTTTTTTTTTATCTTTGCCATAATGACAGTTAATAATATTTTACTAAATCATTTTCAAGACACTTCTATACAGCTTAAAGTGTCATTACTTAACTAGGTTAATTAAGGTAACTACACAGCAAATTCATCTGAGTTAAATTCTCGGTGTTGAAGCATTTCAGAGTAAAGTGTTGACGTTAAAGAGTTAGATTTTGATAAATGAATATAATAAGAGTTAGAATTGATTTTATTCAGTGCGAAATCAAGGAGTTATCTTTTCAACTCTTGGTGGTGTTATTTCCAACATCCGGGAATTCATGCAGCCCCAGTCACTAAAGAAGTTTCCAGACGCCATTTTCCATCTGAGGTTTAGAACAGCAACTGGTGAGTCAAACTACCTAAATGTTGGTATTTTACTGACTTTCTTTGAGGAAATACAGTTGTAAACATATTGTTAAGTTAATAACTTTAGAATGGAGTGACAATTTTAATCTTCTGCAGTTCATTCATGGTCGTTTGTGTATCTAGCTTAACTGCATTACTATTCACTTCTTTTCAAGAATGTTTTTATATATGCTCACGCATACAAAGTGCATAAAAACATCAAATGTACATGTTCAACGCATTTCTGTCACGCTTAATGCCATTTTGTGCGTTGTTTCCCATCTATAAAATAAAATCGACACTTCTCCTTTAATTTGAAGCAAACTAACGTTAGCGAGGGAATCCCCGGAGCAGCCTAGCCTACTCTGCCCGGATGCTAATGGCAACAGAGGACGGTTTCCATAAGCTCTGAAGAGTTTCTAAAACATATCTGGTGAGTAAATTAACATATGCTTACTTGTAAAAGGCTTCCTGACTAAAACATATGATTGTTTGTTATTCGTGTACGTTAATTTGGTTATTTTAAACACCGCGGCCCTTTTAAACTGGTTCATTCGTGTCCGTCCATATACCGTTAACGTTAGTTCATAGACTCGCGTGATAACGTACGCTTGAATTATATTAAGCGTTGACAACCATTAAAGTCGGAATGTTAACATTAATGTCTTTAAATGACTGCGTTTGCACTTTCTCAGGCATTTAAGGTTACAGAAGTCTCCCGGAAGTTGCGGGACTAACGTTAACGTTATCCCGCAAATGCACAGAGACTCCCAGATGCCCAAGTAGATGCCCGCAAATGAATGATAATCTCCCGGAAATCGCGCGTCTCCCGCCCGGTCATTAAACACTTTGCACACCCCTCTCCACCGCATCCCTCCCAGCTCTTCAGGTACGTCGCGCGCAAGTCACCCCCACCGCTCTTCAGGTACGTCGCGCGCAACTCATCCCATTGCTCTTCAGGTTCTCATCTCTCCCGCTACCTCCCGCAAATCAACTCTGTATCCCCCGAAAATTACTTTTCCCAACTCGGGATGTCTGACGTTAGTAAGTTAGGCTATTTATGTAGCCAGGAACATCTTAGTCAAGCTTTTTCTCCCGCATGATATTGTGCTTAAAACTATAGGCTAAACTTAGCATGTACTGTACACAACATTTCCTTTTTATTAAAGACAATTTAGTGCGTTGTAAACAGCCACCTGTCTGTAAAATTAATCAACTGATTCATATTTGAGCAGCCTAATGATGGTACAGGTTTGATTTGTAGATTTATTATCAATAATCAACATCTGAGTCAAAAGATATCTGAAAAAAATGTGAGGCATACTTTGTGATGTTCATCTCTCCTTTTTATCTGAAGGTTATGCATATGTGTTAGATACTAGTTTTTTGTTGTTTTTTAACAGCCACAGTTCTCTATACAATAACACAAGACCCTGTGACGGTGGCTGATTAGAGACGGATGGTGTATTTCCAGAGTTGGTGAAATGACCAAGCACACCTTCTTGGTCATATGTGGTGATAATAATGAAGGTATGTTTGATAAAGTTCTGTATTTGTTTCACAATAAGCTGAGAGGGTATTAGAGCATTAAAGAATAATGAATGACATGAAGGTGATAAGTTTTGTATTGTGGGTGAACTGTTACTTAAATAATGTTTTGCTCTTTGCTTTGAACCTTTTCTTCTTCTGCTTATCCTAATATTTTAGATTATATTTGGACCTGAAACATCTGCTTGACTCCAGTAAAGGTGGCGTCAATACTGGACCTGAAAGGGCCTAACAAGTTGAATCTGGTAAAGAAACATGCACGCACGCGCGCACGCACGCACACGCTTACAGAAAACTGTAAGTTTATGAATATTTTTTACACTGTGGCCAATATTTTGGGGAAGTCAGCATCACTAAATGATATAAAAGATTTTAAGCTCTTCTAAATTTTGCTCCAAGTGTTGTGTTAAATTCAGGATTCTGGACAGACAGCTGCCTGTTTTTCCAGTTCTAGTCATAGTGGTTAACCTAATTGTTTTTGGAGATTCCAACAGTGATGTATGTGTTTTTTCTACTTTTCCATATCCTGTCACCTCAACCAGCTGGATCATCATGAAGATTTTCAAAAGGTGAGTTTAGATTTCTTGAATGTTTTATTTACTTTAAATGTTCTTTTAAATATATCATAGAATTTGATTGCAATTTGTTTTCAAACATTTTTCTTTTCAAGCTGGAGTCTTGAAAAGTTCTTAGATGAGCATCACCCTATGTCCGTGCATCAGGAACCACCAGACAAGCGATCAGCAGCTGCTACATCGTCATGGATAAAAAGGTCATCCTGTGGCTGGGAAGCACTTCATTCACAGGACATGCTTGATGAGATTTCCTTGCTCCAGTTTGTTTTCACACAAGTTTACAGCATTTATACCTTCATTTAAACTGCTGTGTTTGATATGGAGGACCAAGGAAACACTCGAAGTGAAAGATTTGCACGCCAAGTTGTTTAAAATGTAATTTCACAAGAAAACTATGAGTTCAGAAGAAAACTATGAGTGACGCTATATTGAACTTTCAAATTGCTCTGATAACACATCAAGTTTGGACCAAAGGACTGAAACAGCCTTTTTGAGCACTGGTCATACATATCTTGTTGATACTGTCTGTACTAATAAAACATTTAAAGCATATTTGACATTGTTGCATTTTAAAAACTGAATGAATTGTAGAAGTGGTGAATGTTTTCAAATAAAATGTTTTTTCTTTTGTAATTTACAGTCTATTTTGCCTTTTTACCATATTTACACTCAAGAGAGTTGAATAAAATAACAATATATTACACCAGGCGGTGTTAAATATAGTTACATTTTTTAACTCTGCCCAGAGTTAAAATTGACCCTTTCTTCGGTGTCAATGTGCCAACCCTTTTGAAAGTGTTGATTTAACTCTGTTTTGAGTGGACCCCATGAGACACTTTCAAAGTGTTGAAATTAACACCCATAGAGTTGTTTTGGGTCCCCATATTTTGCTGTGTAGGCAGGTTAAGGTAATTAGGCAAGTTATTGTATAATGATGGTTTGTTCTGTAGACTATCGAAAAAAATAGCTTAAAGGGGCTAATCAATTTGTCCCAGCTGAAATAAAACATATAAGACTTTCTCTAGAAGAAAAAATATTATCAGACATACTGTGAAAAATTCCTTGCTCTGTTAAACATCATTTGGGAAATATTTAAAAAAGAAAAAAAAAGATTAAAGGAAGGGCTAATAATTCTGACTTCAACTGTATGGGGCCCTAGCATTAAAACTCAAAACACACTTTTTCTTTTCTTTTTTATTGGTTGTCCACCCCTGTGTGTGAATAACTTAAAAAGGACATGTCTGTATATACATGTCAAATTTCACATTTTCTAAATTGATTACATTTTCTTTATAGATTATACATATTTATTAAAATGCAAAAAATGACAATTATACACAATTAATATATGTGCATTACATTTAAAATGTATATTAAAAATAATAGTAAATTATTTTTTAAATAAATAAATACAGTTAATAAACTTCAGAAATATATAAAATATAATATAAAAACTACAAGGACATCTTAAAATACCAACATAATTACACTTCATATATACACACACACACACACACACACACACACACACACACACACACACACACACACACACACACACACACACACACATATATATATATATATATATATATATATATATATATATATATATATATATATATATATATTCTTTCTTTTAAAATGGTATTTAAACTTATTTAGAAATATTTATTTTTTAGAAAAAAAGTATTATATTATGATAAATGGTTTACATATGCAAATTATTGATACCCTTCAATTTTGTCTTGGCCAGTTTTATTAATTAATTTTTTAATGCTTCTGTTGAACCGCATTTTAAAATAATATTTGATTTTCAAGAGAATATTGTCAGTAAATTTTGATTAATCATTACATTATATACATTATATATATATATATATATATATATATATATATATATATATATATATATATATATATATATATATATATATATATATACAATTATATCAAGTTGTCAATTTATAACATATAGTACATAATACATTAAATAATTAGAAAATATTTATAACAAAATAGTTAAAATTAATACACACAATCAAATACAGTGTAATATAAAGGGTACATTTATATCGCTATTAAATACATTTAATTTCATTTATTTATATCTATGCTATTCTTTGAATAATTACTTTGTATTAATATCCAGATATCTTTGATATTTGTATTATTTATTTATAAAATTACCTGATTTGAATGTTAGCCTTCGATTAAATGGGCGTTATTACTGAATATCAGCTCATAGATATGGGCTAGTACAGGCCTTCTGTGCCATGTGTAATCATTCATCCACTTGGTTAATCAGCTATACTAATAGAGAAGACTCCAGATCCAGATCTGTTTAAACATTACATGTGACGGCTGGGTTTAGGGTTGGAGTAGGGGTATGTTAATAAAATACAATTAATGGGAAATTTATTACATAATATAAATTATTCTCATTACCTTCCAGCCGCAGACATATGTGATCTATAGCTGAATAACCATTTGGATGGATGATAACAGTCTTCTGAGCCTACTAGTTTTAAATGATTGTAAAAATGCTAGTTTAAGTAGCTGTGTTCACTATCTGACCTTGTCGCAGGTGATGCAGTGGTATGTGTTGGAGGAGGGCGAGTAGTGAGTGCTGCAGTCCAGCGGCTGTGGCTCTGCGCTCTGCTTCAGATGAGCTCCGTACAGACTGCTGGCATGATGGAGGAGAGACGGAGAAAAGCCCATATGTCTGAACTCCTGATATGAGGCAGGACCATGATCCCAGCCAAAAGAGCTCTTGTAGTATGGAGGAAACTCTGCCAGCTGAGGTTCTGATGGAGGTATGATGGAAACATTGACATGACGAGTGTTAATATGTCTAAATCTACCCTACACATGCCACATGATACTTGACAGTGATGTTTTTAAGACAAGAGACTGCAGGTAAATAGAGGTCACAATTAACAATAAGGTGTCATTAGTTGCTAATCGTTAATATGAACTAATAGTGAACAATACTTGTACTGTATTTATCATTATTATTATCATTGTTCAGCATTTACTGATACATTATTAAACTCCAAAGTTATTCTTGTTAACATTAGTATGCACTGAGTTAGCATGAACTAACAAAGACACTGTAATAAATGCTTTGATCATTGTTTGTTTTTATTGGCAAATACAGTAACCAATGTACTTTTATGTAAAAGTTTTAAGCTGATTTATTAAATTCATAATTGCAAAAATGTTTAGTATGACAAGCTTATAAAATTTTTTTGTTTAAATATGTATATATTTGGTTTGTTCATTAAAGATCTGCTCATTTGCATACATTTATAGCACAAAAATCTGATTGGGTCAGTTTTATATTCTTGTTTCTCTTTTTATTATGTCATTATTAAGAAAATACCATGAACAGCCAGAACAAAAAACATTTTTGCTTTGAATTGCTGTAGAATAAAATGTTGTGTATATTCACTCAAATTGTGTACTGATTGAACAAATTCCTCTTTGAAAACCCTTAGAGTGTACTGTAGATTTGCATACAACTGTAAACTTTATGCTTAAGTGCTGCTGAAGATTTATGGTTCAGTGCAGGATAAAAAAAAAACTAATTTTGAGAAAATAGCCTCGAACCAACTCAGGCTCATTCTGAAAATGTCCCTCAATATAAATTTCTGGAGAACGTCAAATACATTCCAGGAGCTACAGTGTATTTTTGCAGTTTTTGTTTTCGCAAGTCCATAAGAGACCGCTGTGTACACTTTTTGAAAACTGTCGACTGACTGTTTGACTGACTGAATAACTGACTGACCGATCGACTGACCCAGCCTCCTCCTTCCCTAAACCCAACCGACAGTTTTAAAAAGCAATTCAGAAAAAGAAAAGCCGTCGTCTGATTTTTACCAGATCATACCACATTCTCACCCTGTTATTCACTTGTTTGTTTTATTTTTTGGCTTCTGTTTTTGTCTTTTCTGCTTTCTGGAACTTGAACCCTGTCATCTTGGTCATCTCCTCTCTGCATCTCTAGTCCACCAAAGTACATTGCGAGCTAGCTGAACAAATTGTGTTGGTTTTAAAAAATGAAATGCAGCCATACGTACTTCTGGCTACATAATTCACTATCTCCAGAAATGTATATAGAGCTATGTTTTCAAAATAAGCCTATGTTGCTTTGAACAGTATGTATTGTAATTATAATCATTCAAATAAATAAAGTGCGTAAAAATACTTAAAAGTGTATTTTAAATGTCATCTTTACTATACACTGAAAAAACTGAAACTTACTTTATGAAGTTTACATTGTAAAACAATTAGTTACTTGAAAACAAAAGTGAGTACACCCTGTTGCCTAAAAAATGACAAGTTGGCTTTTCTTAATAAACTTTGAACTAAGTTGTCCATTAAATTTTTTATAAATATCCACATAGTTAATTTACTTAATAGTTTTAAGGCAATGGGTTTTCTAGATAGCTCTAGTAAATTGTTTCAGGGATCGTTTACCCAATGATTAAAATGTCATCATTTACTCACCCTTGTTTCAAACCTTTATAAGTTTTTTTCTTCTGTTAAACACAAAGGCAGATATTTTGATGAACCTGGAAACCTGTAACCATTGACTTCTTTAGTATTTGTTTTTATTTTTACTATGGAATTCAATTGATACAAGTTTTTTGCATTCTTCAAAATATCTTCTTTTTTGTTCAAGAGAAGAAATATCTCATAAAGGTTTGGAACCACTTGAGGGAGAATAAATAGTGAGTAAATTTTAATTTTGGGTGTGAATTATCTATTTACGTAGTCAACTAATTGCTTTTTACAGTTTACAAAATCTTGAAGTTGACAGGTTGCTTCAAAACAGTTTTTGCCAACAATATCTTTAAAATGGGCTCACCAGATATGTAAAAGGGACGTCTGGTGGCGGTGGGCAGCTCGGGGAGTGATGGGATTGGGCAGTCAGGCTCTCGCTCACACTTGATGAAGTCATACGGGTCTCTGTGGGACGGACGGGTCACTGGATCTACCTGAGGCCGCTCGGGGGATTTACACTCTTTTGGTTCCAGAGGGACCAGCGCTGGGACTGAGAGGTTACAATAACACCATTGAAAAATCATGTCAGACAATTACATTCATCAAAATAACCCACAGTGTCTCTAAAACATTTATGAACACATTATAGACACAGTACTAAATGTTAGAATGTCAGTGTTTTTAAAACTCAAAAATTCAACCAAATGGCATCTGATGCTGATTTTTTTCAATTGAGTGTTATTTTACAATGATGTTGTGTTACACTGTAAAAGATATCTGTTAATTAACTGTTTATGTCTGTATATTGTAATTCAAAAGTGTTTTCTGTTTATTTGCAGTTGTGAATTGCATTATGGGACCTTGATCTCTGCTCTGTCGACTTTGGATGTTGAAAATTCAACTTTACAGTTTAACAAAGTGACTTTTATTTACATTTTAGTATGAATATTAAATAATATAAAGAGAAATAAGTCTGTAAAATATCAGAAAATGAAGTGGCAGTTTATTACAAGGTGTTATGCCATAAAATACAACACCAACTCAGACAATATGTTACTTCAAACTATTAAAAATTGTTAATAAAAGTCACTTTTTCAAACTTTTTAAGGTTAAAAGTTACTGGAAGAGAGGTCAAGGTCTCGTAATGCATTTCAAAAGCATAAATAAACAGATTTTTAATGTTAGTTAACATGAACAAACAACAAACAATGCATTTATTACAGTATTTATTCATCTTTCACATTAGTTCAAGAAAATAAAGTCATACGTTGTTAGTTCATATTAACTCATTAACTAAAGCATGAATATGGATTTTGGTAATGAATTAATGAATGTTGGACTCTGATTAAATACTGCAAAAGTTTTGTTCGATCTTAGCTGATGTTATTAAGTAAATGAACTAATGAAACGTTATTGTAAAGTGTGGCCCCTTATGCTTATACAATTTTCTTTTCCCAAATGACCACCAATAGCAGTTATGAACCTGCGAATAAACCGTTCTCTTGTTTGAATAGGCCTGTACTGTATAGTTTGCATATTGGTATCATCCACCCTAACTGCTCCACAGATTACAGACGTCCATGCAGAACAACCTATTGAGCTAAACCTTCACACACAGCACACACACACACACACACACACGAGGCCCAGAAACACTGTCTAAAGTAAGCAGCTGTCAAGCTTTTGAGACGCAGCCCTAGAATCAAATAACAGTCAGCCTGAGGCTCAAGCACCGTTTGCAAACATCAATCTGACAGGTGCTCAGCACATCAAATCTTTCATTTCCCTCTAAGGACACTATTAGAGATTTGAGAATGAACGTAAAAAACAATTTGCAACAATTGTCTCGTGCAACATATGCCAAATGCTGAATTATATATTACTTTAGCTGCTTGTTCAAACCACTAATTTAAAATGAGTCGAAACAACACAATTCTCGTGTTAATTGTTTTATCTTCAATCCATTTAAATTTGTAAAAATGATAACTTAAATTTGTAAAAAATTATAACTTAACTGATTTGTGTTGGGAAACAATGAAGGAATTGTGTGGAACCCTGCATTTTTTTTACTGTGTATGCTACACTGTAAACCCCAACAGTTAACTTTATAAAATTAAATGAGTGTAGTTAACTAAAGATTTACTGAAAGTTAATTCTTCTCATTTGAAAAGAGTTTAGAACTCAGTGTTAAAGATAATGAGTTAATTAAATACCTCATTACAGTACTCATTGATTTTTTAACTTAAATGGTTTGTAGCAACTGGTTTCCTCAAATAGTTTGGGTTGCCTTAACTTATTTGGTTTTACAGTGTATATAAACTTCTTAACAATCACTTTTTTAAAAATTAATTATTGGCTTGAGTTACTTGAAGAACATTCATTATTATATTTGTTTTTAGTGAGTAAAAAATATTTTAGATAATCAAAACAGTGATTGCACTAAGAAAAAAAAATGTTTAATTTAATTTTAAATACATTAATACATTATTTCTGTTATTCTACTAAACTGGAAAATAGCCTTCATTCAACCAATAAAAAAATAGGGTAATGGTTTTACATCAAAACTTGATCACTAGAGCCAATGAAAAATAAATCGTTTTTCACACATTAAAAAAAATCCTGTTTGCCTTATAATTTTAAGCTGAATTAAATTAATTTTATGAGTTCATTGAAATGTTAATCTGACTTAAAACAGCTTGTGTAACTAATAAAATTCAGTTAAAACATCATTAACTTAGTTTAATAAGTTACAATTACCTAAAAACATATACTGTCAGGACTAATTGATCGTATAATTTTTTAAAGTGCATGAAATTGCAAAGCATATTGAGTTTCTGTTTAATCTGTGTAAGTAACCTTAAAATCTTACATTGTTCAAAACAAATATTTCCTAGTTGAGCTCTTAATCAACACCATTTGAACTTAAAGTCTATTAGAAAAATAAAACTATTAATATTAAACTGAAATATATGAAAATTAAAACGATACATTTTTAATCGGATGAAGTACTGCTTGATTTTTTTTTTTTTTTTTTGTATTTCTGCATCAAACCAAAAACGTTTTGCAGTGGCATTTGTGTGAAAAACATCATTTAGAACTTTTATCTGTAAAGTACAATTCAAACTAAATATAGAATATAATAATAAAACAACAATATTAATAATAATACAGTGAAATAATAATAATAATTAAAAATCAACAACAGAGCATTTTAGTGTGAATACTCACTTGTTTTGGGTTCTGGTTCCGGGAGTTTTTGTGGAGCTTGTTCGGTGTCGTTTGGTCGATGCACATTATAAGACTTTTTACTTTTCACCAGAAACGACCGTGGCATGATTCCGTGATTCTGTTAAATGAGATTTGTTTACTGAGATGCTTTCGTTTGCTGTTGTTGTCATGATTGCCGCATAAACTTGAACATATTCGTGACTTCTCAAAACTTGAAATTGTCCAACAAATTATAAATGACAAATGCAATAGGCTACGATGATATTGATTCCTTTATATTAAAAAAAAACAACTTGCTTTAAAGGGTTGATCTTTATATATGTCTAAAAAATTAAATAATAAAATTAAACACATAGTTAATGGGCTACAATAGCTATTAGGTGGTGATATAATTCTTTTTAACTTTCAGTCAAACTTTGCTCTGGTTTTAGACTTTTTTATAGCTAATTGTAGCCATAAAACAGTATATTTGTTAATAAAAATATATTATATCTACCTAATACTAATTCACTTAAGCTAGAAAAACTATTTCAAACTTCTAAATAAATAACTAATTGCGTGGAAAAAAATTACCTGAAATGATGCTGTGTTTAAAGTCCTTTGATTGTTTGAGTGGCTTCGAGCTGATGAAAAGTGCTAGGAAATCCGTTGTGATGTTTAGAAACTTAAGCACTGCATTGCTGTGAGTTGCTTGTGTTGAGTTTTTTTAACTCCCCTCCCTGATTTTCAATCCGATAATTCTTGCGGTGGAATCTGACTGAGCTTTCGACCAATTACAGACGCAGAGCAGGTGCGACATTTGCCTACTAAACGCAAACTTAAACATCCTGGTATATAGACGCTCTTTGACATTAGCCTATGTTTTAAGCAGCATATTAGTTTTTTTTAATAAATAGCAATTAAAAAAATGTTAGTGTATTTGGTCAAGCTATTTACATTAGTCGTAAATTATTTTTTTTACCTGCCTACATCTCAAAATCCTCTTATATGCGTTTAAAAATGTAATTAGTTAACAGAACAAATGCTTCAGATACTTAGCCAGACATTTATCTGCTGTCATTTTAACAATTCTTCATCATATTTTGTGGTCATCTGTTGACTTTTTAAGCCCTTTATTACAGCTAGCGGGCTTAAAACATAAAACCAATAAACCAGTAACACATTTGCTTGATCGTCCCTCAAAAACACACACCAAACCTGTAAAGTTGGTACCTCAGAATGTTTGCTTTCTAATATTTGCACAGTTGTGTTTTGGTTGCAGCCTTCGGCGTTTATGTGATATCTTTGATTATTAAAAGCACAGCTAAGTTATCCGCTAAAACTAAGTGCTGGATAAACCTGAAATATGTGTTTATTGTCTGTAAATTCGTGTTTGTTTGCTTGGTGTTTTAAAAAAAATTATTTACCTGATCGGTTTTATTTTATATTAGCTCACCTTCACCTTGTGTTGCGCGCATTGAGAGATCGATTAACGTAATGTGTGTACGTCCCCTTGTGGACCGATGGTGAACTGCAGCTATACAATATCCAATTCTTTATAATGGGTTCAGATGTCGTCTTTTATCCGTTTTCTTTTCTCTTCTACCTTTCTTTTGCCTTTTATGAAAATAATGAACATTTTGCTGACAACTCAAATATTAATAAGATCCTTCGATAATAATTAGGTCCATCGTTATTTTGAATGCTAGTTCGCACAATATGGCAAATTCGATGATCGCGAGGATTTAATATTATGTACAAGCTATAGCCTCATGAATTAAGAGTCTTTACACAACATGGTCAACATCATGTTATTAGCAGAGTGGCGCAGCGGAAGCGTGCTGGGCCCATAACCCAGAGGTCGATGGATCGAAACCATCCTCTGCTAAAAGCATTTTCTTAATATTGCTTTTTATCACAAATATTACGGTTTGTAATGTGTTGTAAATAAATGCGGCAAATTGTAATCTCGAAGGTAATGTAGCCTACACTACTATAACAACCACCGTTACAACTGATTAAAATCTAAATAAAATGTGTACATTAACTATGTTGCTTAAAATAAACCTATAAAAATCTAATAAAATAAAATAATTATAAATGAATTATAAAAAACGTAATTTCATTTTTTTAAAAGTAACACAAAACACATGTTTATTAATTTTATGTAACATTAAATAAAATAAATTATCTTTAAATAATATAAATCGTTAAATTAAATAAATAAATATTAACAAATTAAATAAAACTTAAAAACATATTTCAATAAGTTGCCAATGCAACATTTTTCATTAAATTGTTTAACATATGTTGGATTTATTTTAAACAAATATACACTAATTAGCATTTATTTAATACATTTTATTTTAGTTGTTTGTGCAAAATTCAACATTTTTGGTAGAAAATAACCTAATAATGTAATATAAATGAGTGGGACAGATATTTTTAAAATACCAACTAATAAAAATTGCACCAGAAAGGACATAAAATATACTAACAAGCAAAAACCATTTGCGGAGGAAAACATTTAATTAACTTAAATAGAAGGGTTGTGTGAAGCAAACATTAAACTTATATTTATTAGTTGAACCAAAGACTATATGGTTTAACATATTAACACTAATAGAAAAACGTATAAACCCACACAAACATATATATTTTTTAATACTAACTAGTAATAGCAATGACACAAAAGCACTAATTTTTATAATAATGACAATAAAAAATAAATCCAAATTAAAATGCTTAAATTACCAAAAACAGGGTAAAAAACTTATTAAAAAGCACAAAACAAAACTAAAATGATGTAATAACATTATCTAAGCTGTAATAACATTTAAGAGATACTAATTTCTGAGGGAAAGGGAAGAAATCTCTGAAATGTAGGGCTGTTTAAATAGAGCTCAATGCACCTGACTAACCACTAGAGGACAATCTCCACTAAAAAAAGTCTCATCCACATTCAAACAGTTTTTTTTTTTTTTTAGAATTTAAATCCCCCCCCCCCCCCCCCAGTGTAGCACACTGAGGTGACCAATATTCTGTTACATTCTTCTTGTGGCATGCAAAAAAAAGACTGTAACAAAGAACTAACTTAAAGAATTAACCTTGAAACTTAAGCCGTGGTTTGAGATAATTGAAGAAATTCATTTGATTAAAAAACTGACATTTATGTTGAGGATGAAAACTGATATTTTCTGGAAGGGTTGGATGTGTGGTTGCATACATGTAGCATGTTTTTTCTGTTAAATTATTGTTCTGTGTTGTAAAAAAATAAACTAAAAAAAGAACAAACAAGATAAAGCATATACTGTAAAGTTCGACTTTACTGAAAATGAAAACGGAAAGGAAGTATAATACCTTGGTGACACATTTGTGACACCCTCATGTGAATACAGAACCAAAAGCTGATCAGTGACGATCTCAGACACAATTCAGTTTTATGAAGAAAACAAACAAATGAACATTAATGGTGGCTGAGAGTTTTCTTCTGCTCAACACATTATGTGTGCTTTATCAAAGGGATTTAAATAACATGAGATGTAAAAACATGATGGCATCATTTTAATTGTGTGTACGTTGTAAATTAATGACAAATCACTAAATTATAAGATATTTATATTAGATTTTTTTCTTTTATTTTTAGCTTTCATTCTTTCTTGCACAAGTGGATTTCAATGAGGCTGTATTTAGGATTTTTTTAAATCTCATTTACTTGATTTCTTATTACCATTGTTTGTGTTTTTTTTATTATGAAACCTAAATAATTTAAAAGTCTACTTGGATTTTAACGTAGTTACATTGTCCTCTCATTTTTGTATGTATTGTAGCCTATATTTAAAATGTTAAGTTGGTTTACTTTATTTTTCCTGATTATTTATCTTTATTTGTTAATTTATTGGTCTGTATATTTATTTAAACATAGATACTTCATAACTCAATATTTTTTTGTAGGCTAGGCTACCTTTATTTTTATGTTGCAGGCCTTTATGCAGCCTGTATATATAGGCTAGCTTTATTTGCACTTTTAAGATTACTTTCTTTTTGCTCACAGTTTCATTCATTCATTCATTCATTCATTCATTCATTCATTCATTCATTCATTCATTCATTCATTCAGTCACACATTCATTCATTCATTCATTCATTCATTCATTCATTCATTCATTCATTCATTCATTCATTCATTCATTCATTCATTTTTTCTTTTTGGCCTGAATTTGGGGTTTGAATTTGTCTACTTCTGTTTTCCTTGCCCCTATTGATTAATTATTTACTAATGCATTAGTCTATATTTTTATTTCTATCTAGTTTTCATTCATTCATTCATTCATTCATTCATTCATTCATTCATAACTCAATATTTTTTTTAGGCTAGGCTGCCTTTACTTTTCATCATTTTGTAGGCCTTTATGCAGCCTGTATATATAGGCTAGCTTTATTTGCACTATAAGATGACTTTCTTTTTGCTCACATTTTCATTCATTCATTCATTCATTCATTCATTCATTCATTCATTCATTCATTCATTCATTCATTCATTCATTTATTCATTCATTCTTTCATTCATTCATTCATACATTTAATTATTCATTCATTCAGTCACACATTCATTCATTCATTCATTCATTCATTCATTCATTCATTCATTCATTCATTCATTCAGTCACACATTCATTCATTCAGTCACACATTCATTCAGTCAGTCACACATTCATTCATTCATTCATTCAGTCACACATTCATTTATTCATTCATTCATTCATTTTTTTCTTTTTGGCCTGAATTTGGGGTTTGAATTTTTTCCCCTCTTGTTTTCTTTGCCCCTATTGATTAATTATTTACTAATGCATTAGCCTATATTTTTATTTAGTCTAATCTAGTTTTCATTCATTCATTCATTCATTCATTCATTAATTCATTCATTCATTCATTCATTCAATATTTTTTTTTTGCCTGGATTTGAGGTTTGAATTTGTACTTCTATTTTCCTTGCTCCTATTTATTAATTATTTACTAACGCATTAGCCTATATTTTTATTTTTATCTAGTTTTTCTTCCTTGCTTTCTTCCTAGCTACCTTCATACATTCATTCATTCATTCATTCATTCATTCATTCATTCATTCATTCATTCATTCATTCATTATTATTTGCCTAGATTTGGTGTTTAAAAGTCTATTTGCATTTTTCTTGCCCTGAGTTATTGATTATTTACTAATGCATTAGTCTATATTTTTATTTTCTATTTAGTTTTCATTCATTCATTCATTCATTCATTCATTCATTCATTATTTTTGCCTGAATTTGGTCTTTAAATGTCTACTTCAGTTTTCCTTACCCCAATTTATTAATTATTTACTAAGGCATTAGCCTATATTTCTGTTTTATAGTTTTCATTCATTCATTCATTCATTCATTCATTCATTCATTCATTCATTCATTCATTCATTCATTCATTCATGTAGCCTATTGATAGAATGTTTTTGTCTTTATTATTACAATTTATGTATTTGAACGAAACTAAATTTGTGTTTTATTACGTTTTATGTATTGATTCCATTAAGGACTGCACAGTTTCTATATGGTGTATTTTGGGCAAAAAACTGAAACTTTTAGCTGGTCCAATTCAGCGTGTATGCGCTCACCACCTGAGTCACGCGAAAGCCGCATTACAGAGCCCTGCATCCCTCCACCCTTCAGAAAAACAACTCAGGGCCTAACTGCAGGATCCTCTAAAACTTTCACACGTCAGTCCTGCTCCCGCCACAGGTCCATGCATTCATAAAGTACGTCTGCAGGTTATTTCTAATAACATTCATTGCGTATTTCTATGTTCTGCGTTCAGATACAGGCGTGTTTTTGAGCTCTCGGGGATTATTTCTCCTGTTCATCCGCGGAAGGCGACCGCGCTGGCAGGGGTTGTAAGGTGTTCAAGATGGCGGCGCCCTGTGGAGTGCAGTTTCTCTAACAGGTAAACAGGTTTATTAAACGATGTTTTTTGGGGTGATATTTTTACATCATCTACATTGACAGTCGGGATGTTAGATGTGCTTGCTTCTCAGTATTTTACGTGCATTATAAAGTTTCTCGGGCGTTATTTCTGATTTGCAGTATGCTTGTCGATAATAAGGCTCTCTTGCCTGGGACTGTCAGTGAAATAATAGTCCCCATTGAATGTGACAGTTTCAAAACGAATCCTAACAAATCTCCGCGCGCGCAGGCAGGCGTTTAAGGGGGAAGTTGAAATGCATGCGGGGATGTTTGGTTTGGTCGGCGCATTTTTTTGGAGACAGTCCCGCAGATTCTGGCCATTGTTCTCTTGCGCTGTTTACGCCAGTGGTCATTTCAACACACATCTGCTGTCAGTGCATGCAGATCAAACCACAACATCTCTCTGCACATGCCTGCGCTGTTATTTTGGGCCATGCATTGGTTGAAATACAGACATATGTTGTTTGCTATTTGCTGTCTTTTACGCCCATAAGAGCGGATGTTTTTGAACAGAATTTGTTGTGTGCATGCAAATCATGCAATGCAGTCTCCAGCTCTTACTGTATGATCATTGCTCGCCTGTTAAGTGTGTAAAGTCATTTAACTAGTAAGAATGACGGTTATTTTTCTTGATTAATTAAAATGTTTTTGCATTGTAATTTGCATATAAAATAAATACTTTAATGTTTTTAAATGTTTAAAATGTTTTTGTTATAGCTGAAATAATCACATGTATGATTATATAACATTATATATTAATGAAATAACATGCTTATTCTGACTTGTACTTAATAAAAGTATAAGTTAACATACTAAATTGTATAATTTTTAGTAATTCCTAAATATTTCTTGCTTGCAAGAATGTAGTCTTGTAGTAGTTAAAAAAGATAGTAGTGAATTATAAAGATATAACGTACAAATTAATTATTTGTTGTGGCAGCACTATGATTGTTAAATACAGTATTTAATTATGTCATGAAATAAAATATGCCGGGCAATATTTTATTTGCATGCATCTGTATAAACTATTGTTAATCCCAGTTCTTTTTATTGGGCGTTTTCTATTAATCATGACAAAAAACTAATTATGTTAATAATCATATTTGGCAACACTTTATTTTGATGGTTCATTTGACTATTAGTAGACTGTCTGCTTAATATCTGCTGATCTGCTAATTTATCATTAGATTGATTGGGATGATTCTGTAGGGAAGTGTATGTGCATAAAATATAAGAGATAATCTACAAGCATATAGACAAGCTCAATAATGAAAAAAGATACAAATTAAATAAACAGTTTTTAATTGTTTTCTAAGAAGTCGAACTGTATTTAGTTGTACAGTAATTGAATAATCAAATGTAAAATAATACTGCATAATCTTCGTTATATGAACAATTAAGTCATTATTTATTTGTCAAATTTACAATTTCGTAGTTCTGAATGCTTTTAAAGCCCTCACACAGTCATCGAGATGGTACTTTTTAAAAAAAACTACATTTATTTTGTTTGTAACATGTACCTAATAATACTTAAAAAGTACAAATGTGTTCTTCATAGTACCATAAAGGTACAAAAGTGAACCTTAAAGGTACTAATGTCCACCTTTACAAAAGTGTAGCTTTTAAAAGGGTACCACCACAGTGACAGATTTTGCACCTTTATTTCTGAGTGTGTAGACTTAGAATTCTTAAAAACTATGACTTGATTTAATATATAAAAACTAAAAGAGAAATTTGAGAAAAACTGTAAACTTAAACACAAGTTCTTTAAGGAAGTTGTTTATTTGGCTCTAAACATGGCATATAAAGCTTCTTTGTGCTGTTAACAGCCCTGTTTTCCAGTTGGCAGACACAGCCACAGTTCGTGAAGAGGTCGTCCAGAACTTCATCTTATTAGTGTGTTTTTCCCCATGAGTGTGATACGTGCTTTTAGTTTGGGAGCTATGATTATGAAGTTAATCAATGAACGTCTTTGTATGGAACATTGAAGGGTCATTCTTGCTGTCACCTTTCCCTAGATGGTTTTCATCTTCTACTAAGATATCCTTAGAGCAGTGCTTTGTGTTTTCTAGCAGCTGTTTGTTTTGATGATATAATAAGGAGAAAGTGTCCACTTAGCAGTTGTTAGCTTCAGGTCTTGGGGACTCGCGTTACTCTCAAGATTAAGCTGGTTAAGATGTAGGTTAAGACTATAATCTGAAGTTGTTGATATGGAGATGTGCAAGACTTTTTAGTGTTAAATGCTATGAAAAGTATCTGTTATGTTTGGAAGTTGTTTTGCTAGTCTGTCTTCAGGTTTCAGCTTCAGGTCAGTTGATTACTGTTAACTAACATTCATGTTATGTTGTATAGTTTGTTTTAATATATAGTTGTTCCATCATCAACAAACATTTACATTTTTACTATGAATGCTGATTTAATGTTCAAAGTGTTGGCTTAAATGGGTAAATGTGTTAAGGAAATGAACACTTTCAGTTTACATGCGCTTTTAATACTGTGCAAGAATAAAATAAATGCTCTACCACATCAAAGTGTCAACATTATAACATATTTAAATGCAATAAGTATTAGTTATGATGAGCATAAACAACCAACATTTCAATCATTAAAAGTAAATAAAACAGAATTTTTAAGATTTTAAAATATAAATGACTAACCATTTAAAATCATCTTGAAATATCTTGCATACATTACAGGTATATCAAATTATATAGCTGTTTTTAAATATTAGCCATGTTAATAAAGGCTTTTACATTTTTTTACATTGGCACGAGCATTGCCTTAGTGTCGGACCAGTGACGATATACAGTCACACCGCACTGCTTCGAGTATGATATTGCGTTTATGCAATGATAGTTTGACTGCATAATCATGTATATAAAAATAAAACAAATCAAACACGGAGAGTCTAAAAACCCTTTTGTATGAGGAACTACTTTCTTTGGCCATTCATTCACATCTGCAGCTGAAGTCAGAACAGCAGAAACCGCTGCTCATTCACAACATTACTTTAGAGCTGGTATTTGAATGATTCCCTAGCGTAATGTTTAAAGTGATGAAAAAACAGGTGATTTTGCTCACATTTTACGATTATAACACTGAACGGCATGAAATGCCATCAGTCTACAGAGATTTCCCAGTTTCTCTCTGTTGCAATCAGGAGATCACAGTAATTAACCCCCGAAAAAGCCAAAAGCAAAGCAAACACTACCAGATTACTGTTGTAACAGGAGACTCATTAGAAACAGATGGCCATCAGTTTTAAGACTTTAAGATGAGTCCCATCTTACACTCAACACACACCAATTACTATGGTGTAAATACACCACTACAACATACAAAAGCAATACCAGTTTTATAATGATTTGATCAGCTGTAGTTTGAAATTACGCTGTATTTTTCCTCCTCTAAGGGCTTATAATGCAGCCTTTGTTGTGGATGGACAACGTCAACCGTCTTTAGCCTGCTCGTCGCACTGTCTCTCAGAAATTAAAAAAATTTAAAATAGGCACTATCCTAAATAAACTGCATAGTTGCAATCTAAACAACTACATTATCGACTAAAAAAGTAGGTTATGTTGTCCAACAGCTGCAATATTTGTCAAACTGTAGTGTTCTCTGCTTGTTGCTGTATGTGGGCGGAGTAATACACAAGGGTGAGAGGCTGGACGAGTACTGTTACTGACAGAATTTCGCACGACTATCAACCAATAAGATTCAAGAACCAGACAGAACTGTTGTATATAAATAAAAATAATAATGTAAATAATTTGACTATAAATTATTTATTTTTATATTTTCCTTTAAGTATGTTCTTTGCATTTTTATAATATTACACTTAAAAATCTGCTTTTATTCTGTGTAACCCACATTTCGTTTTTGACCTTTAAAATGTGTAAAATACTCATGAAGTCACATTTAAATCCTAGAATCTCTGTAACTGAACCATACGTGCATTAACACCTATTTTAAAAGTAAAGTTTGTTTTAAAAAAGAAATTTTACAGGACATTAAGACATCTTCAATACTTCTTGAATTATAGACATGCAAACTTTGGAAGAAACATTTTTGAACCAAAAATCAAAAATATCGCAACAAAGATAGCTGAAGTTAATTATGTTGAATGTGTAATCTATTTTGACCAAATTGTTTAGTCAGTTCCCTGGTTTCATTAAACTGCATTCTTTCTTTGACTTTAACTGTGTTGATCTGGTGTTGTCAGGCTGGTGTGACAACTTACTTTTGTCATGTCTGTTTAAGAACAGGTCTGAACATGTGAATTATCAATGCTTAAAGGAACACTTTATTTAAAATAGCCTCATTTTACCAAGTCACCAAGATTTAAGCAGTTGAGTTTTACCATTTTTGAACCCATTTAGCCAATCTCCAGGTCTGGCAGGAGGACTTTAGCTTAGCTTAGCATAGATTATCATTCTGATTAGACCATTAGCATCTCATAAAAAAAAATAGTTTTAATAATGTTTCTTTTTAAAGTTACGTTGTGTACTAAGACTATCGTAAAATGAATAGTTGTTTTTATATTAGACAGGACATGGGGGAAAAAAGGTCTTATGCAACCATGGTACAGCAATAAACTTGATTATCACAATGCCACAATGAGAGTATAGTTTCTAGCCATATATCGGTTTAGAAAGTTGCAACTTTTCATTTTCTGTCGGTCTACGTCCACGATGTTACTATTGAAAAGTCAAGCTTTTAAAAGGAAATTATCGGAACACATTTTTTAGCAAGATGCTAATGGTCTAATCTGATTCAGTGATCTATGCTAAGCTGAAAGTGTTCCCAAACTGCTAAATGATAATGGTAAATGGTAAAACTCAACTTTTAAACTCAAGGAGAGCTGTAAATAGAGCCTATTTACCAAAAAAGTAGAGTGTTGTTTTAAAAAAAGGTTTGCGTTTCTTAAAACATCCAACCCTTTGATGTTAATGATATCAAATGTACTTCATAATGGCACATTACAACTTTTGTGCACCCCCCAATGTTTCTCTTACTCTTGAATTGGAAAGTTTACTTAAACGCAGAAACTGCAAGATGTTCTCATGAATATTTCATGGAGACAAGCACATCTAGAAAAGTGAAGTGATGTAAGTCTTCAAATGTGTCTTGCAGTGGTGCCTGGGGACTGTTTCGACGGGAGGCCCAGGGACCCCTCCAGGCTGGACAGGACACGGGACGCTGTGAGCGTGACGTCTGAGAGACTGTTTAAGAGACCCTCCACACCGTCATGTCCAGGGAACAGCTGAACGTGGGGGATCTTCTTCCCCTGTTGGAGACCTCTGACCTCCGCCAGCTGAACGAGATCAAGGGCCTTATTAATGAACACCTCAACACAGGTGCAGACAAAACTGCCTCTCTATGTTTGCATGACTTGATTTATAGTAGGGCTGCACAATATAATGCTTCAGAATGAACATCACAGTATGTGAATCTGCAAAAGACTTGCATCACATACTGCACAATGTCAAGTAGAGGTCATAGTTTATAGTAGGGCTGCACGATATTGGAAAAATCTGGATATGAACACAATTGCACCTTTTCATGACTTGAATAGCCCCGTTTGGAATGAAATCATTAATTTAGATTTAGTGGGGTGATTTTGTAAGGGTGTGAATTATGTATAAACCATTAATAAACATAGTAAGCAAAAATTATTACAATAGAGCAAAGAAAAAAGTACAATAATTAATAATAAACTAGTATTCAGGTACAGAAATTGAATAATTAAATGTCAAATGTAAAACAACACTGTGTAGTCCTTCTTGAATTAATATTTCTGTCAAATGATTCTTTAGTAAAGTTACAAATGTTGTACTTTTTGTGGTAGAAGGTTCTTGAAATGCCTTTAAAAAGCATGCAGTGATAAACTTTCACTCTGTTATGGTTTTAATTTGTGGTTTTGATCAATAATAATCCCAACTCAACATTGCCCATATCTTGCGATGTGACTTTTGCTGACATGCACATTGCTCAAATGATATATTGTGCAGCTCTAGTATAGGTGACAAGAAATAACAGTTCAGAATTTGTGGATTAACAGCAAAGTTTGATAATAGAGTCTGAGTTTATCATTTGTAGGTTGTTACTGTATGAACAAACTTACTTTAGAGCGGGGATGTCCAAACTGGGCCCTATAGGGCTGTTGTCCAGCAAAGTTTAGTTCCGAGCCCAATCAGACACACTTGGGCTAGCAAATTGAGCTCTTACTGAGCCTTCTAGCTCTAGAAACATTCTTGCAGGTGTGTTGAGGTAAGTTGGAGCTAAAATCTGCAGAACACCGGCCCTCCAGGACTAAGTTTGGACACTTTTTCTTTACGACATTGAGGTATTAAAAAACAAAGATATTGGTAGCTTTTTACAAAGTTTAAAAGGATAATTCACCCAAAAATGAAATGACCCTCATCTGTTTTAAACCTTTATAAGTTTCTTTTTTTCTATTGTACATAAAATAAGATGTTTTAAAGAATGCTGCTTGCTTTTACTCATTAACTTCTATTGTAGGAAACATTTTCTATGGAAGTCAATGGGTGCTAGCTACCACCATTTTTTGGAATTATTTTGTGTTAAACAGAAATAGGAAACTCAAATAGGTTTCAAACAAGTGAAGGGTGAGGAAAGGACTTTCAGTTTTGTGTGAACAGTCCCTTTAATTGCATTTTATTTTGTACAATTAAGACTATGCAGTGTTTCTTACAGTTTTTCTCAATTGTTTACACACATTTTCTCAAAGCATGTCTCATACTATCAGAACTCTACACACAAATCACAAAACACACACCCATTGGGCAAAACTCTTCAAGTGTTCTGCAAAATTAAACTCTACATTCAAAACAAAGTGATTTCTTCTCAAAATGATATTTTGTTTTCAAATGACACACACAAGCCATCACATGAATAGACAATTATAAGAAAAGTTGAGCACTGATGTGCTTAATGTAAAACACTAAGACCACTTCTTCTCCATTCATCATAATAACTTTTTGTAAGCCTTTTTTTGTTCAGTCTTACACGTACTACATACGGCTACAAAAGTGCATTGTAAAATATTTCAGAATATTGTTTTTATACAAAACACACAAATATCAAATATATTTTACTGTAATTTTCCCACAAATACAGTGTGCACAGTGTTCATCAACCAACAACAAAGTTGCACATAACGTCGTCTATATATGCCATCAACAGAAGTATTTACTGAATACAGTTACAGTAAAAAAAATGCTAAACTGCATCCTCTTTTCTGTTTTGGTCTGGCCAAGCAGTGGGGGAAATGTCTTCTTGCATGGCGAATCCAGCTATGAAAAGCATCAACTGCTATAGCTTGGAGAAGGGGTATACGTGTGTATGGATTTCGGTGATCCACTTTTTATCTACAGGCAGAAAAAAAATCCTCAATATGTTTAAGAATGAATATGGAGGGAGATAAACAACTAAAAAACGTGGGTTGGCTGTGAACCAGATGAGCTCTGATTTCTAAATTGCAATTGTGTGTGACAGGTGTTTGCTCATGTGATGAGTTTACATGCCAAGTAGGGCAACTGACTTTACAATTTTGAATGAAAGTGTGTTCCTTGTTAAAAAAAGAGATTTTCTGCATGAAAATTGTGCAAAATGCAGAGAATTGTGTGTTGTGTTTAGAAAAAAAGTGTGTTTTAAATCTGTAATTCGAGTGTAAAGCAGGAATTGTGCTTGTAGTATAGCAGAATTGGTTCAGGGGGCTGGTGCATCAGCTACATGTTGTAGTCTTTGTGTCTGAAGTACAAGTAATTGTGTGTAAACAACTAAGAAAAACTGTAAAGCATTAAAAACATAAAGTACTGCTTATTTCATGTGGAACTTTTGTTGTATTGCATTATTTTTGCTTGTAATTTTTGTATTATAGTTTTATGCAGATGCAGCCCCCTAAAGGTGTTCAAAAATCCAAACATATGAAATAGTTTTCATATCACAAAATATAAAGAAGAAAAAAAATATCACAAAGTCAGTTATTTTCCAAAATCATGCATCCATAATTCCTTTTTCTTTTGAATGTTTCATTGCATGATTAATTTTGATTTGTATTTTGCAGATCGAGGGTCCGTGCTGCTGAATGGTTTGGTGGATTATTTCCTGGAGACCAACTCTGCCCAGACAGTGCACATCCTGTCTTCAGTGAGGGAGCCACATGATAAGGTGACCGTTTGAGCATATTCTGTGCATATTGTTCCAACACAGTCTTGAACTTGCTTCACTGCAGTTTTAAGTGTGTTTAACTTACAACAAAGTACTGAAAATGGAAAATTACAGTTGAAGCTAAAATTATTAGCCCTCTTGAAAGGCATTTTTAAACATAATAATTTTAATATCTTATTTCTTATAAATTATTTCTTTTATCTTTGCCATGATGACAGTAATTAATATTTTAGTAGTTATTTTTCAGGATAGTAGTATTCAGCTTAAAGGGCAATTTAAAGGCATAACTAGGTTAATTAGGTTAATTCCTTAAATTTTTATTGCGCTTTTCTGGACACTCAAAGCGCTTTATACATTGGGGGAATCTCCTCATCCACCATCATTGTGTAGCATCCACCTGGATGACATGATGGCAGTCTTTGCGCCAGACGACAGGAGGCCATGATGGATGGAGGCCAGTGGGCAAATTTGGCCAGCATGCCAGGTTTAAACCCCTCACTGAGCAGTATAGAGTCCCCTTCACTATACTGGGGCGTTAGAATCCACACAGACTGCAGGTTGAGCGCCCCCTGCTGGCCTCACTAGCACCACTTCTGGCAGCAATCCAGCTTTCCCATGTGGTCTCCCATCCAGGTACTGACCAAGTTCAGCCCTGGTTAGCTTCAGTGGGCGACCATGAGAGTTGCAGAGAGCTAGCTGCCGGCTGCTAGGTTAACTAGACATGTTAGGGTAATTAAGCAAGTCATTGGACAACAGTGGCTTGATCTGTTGAAAATGGAAAAATCTTATAATAGATTACAATTATTTTTAAAAAAATGCATTTTTCCCAGTCAAACTAACAGAAATAAAACTTTCTCCACAAAACTGTACAGTATAATATAATAGAAAATTGTAATGTCAAGGGGATGGTGACAGCGAAGTGCGGATCCAAATGCAAGTTTTATTCAGCAGAATGGTCAGGCAAACAGCAGTCAACACAGGGACAAACAAGTATATGCAGATTATCCAGAGTCGTAAACAAATAACAGGTAAGTGGTCAGAAGGCAGGCAGCAGACACGAACAAACAGTAAAACAAACAACACAAAGTGAGAGTCAAAACCGGCAAGGAAAACATGTCTTAATGCTCACAATTCAGTATAGCAAGACTCAGCATGTGTGTGTTGTGCTGTTTAAATAGTCCTGTAATCAGTCCATGAGCAGGTTCAGCTGTGAGTGTTTGCAATTAGACAGGATCAGGAACTGGTGTGTGTGCAAAGTGCATGCAGTGATTTGTAGTCTATTTAATGGCGGATGTGAAGTTCTAAGTGATCTTTGTGTTTATCAGCTATCTGCAGCTGCTAGATTGCTGGTGATCATGACAGAAATACTGTGAAAATGTCCTTGCTCTGTTGAACATCACTTGGGAAATAATGAAAAAGTGAAAATAAAAAAGAATTTAAATGTCACAGTAGTAATCATTTTAGTAATAGATAATAATTACAAGTATTTAAAGTAATCATTTTGCCTTTAACTGTGTACCTTTAGTTTTTGATAAGTTTAGCATGTAAATAACAATTGTCAAAACCAGCCCTCTTCACAAATCCATTTTTGAGCATTGCTGTTGCATGTGTAAATATAAATGTATTAAAATAATAATATAAAAATTATAATAAAGTAAATAATTAATGGTAATAATAAATAATAATAAATAAATTGTACAGTTTAATTATTAATCTTAGTAGTAGTTGTAGTAGTGCATGCGTTATTCTGGCCGATTTTTTTGGTAGATTTTTATACTAATGTTTGTTGCTTGCTTAGCTATATTTTTGTCAATAAAATAGGTCATGCTTTGATCATGTTTTTATATTAGCCAAGTAGCCCAAAAACAATCATGCATTAATTATTTTTATTGATGCACATATATAAAAATGGAAATTTGAAGTTTAGGAACTGGTTCAGTTAAATTATAACTCATTGAAAAGAGGTTTGAGTTGTTTTTAAGTGTGAACGCCCAATTCCCCCCACTCAAATCATACAAAAATGAATAAACAGCTATTAAATATATGAACAAATGAAGCTTGTCAACTCACTATCATCATTTAAACACCTGCATATCAGAATATCTTTAAGCAGTATTTCTATTTTCTATCAATAATATTTAATAACAAAAATGTCTGATGTCAGTGAATACATTAGCAGCAGTTTTAATAAGTCTGGTTCATAATATGACTTGGATTTTTTTGGTCTCTTTCTCAGCACCTTTTTGATAAAATGAATGAATGCATGGCTAAAGCCCCCTGTCGCCTGCCCACCCTCACTCTCCTGGGGCATGTTGTCCGTAAGCAGCCATCTTGGATCCACAAGATCGCGCACTATCCGCTGCTGCTATCTCTCCTCAAATGCCTCAAGGTAAGCTTATAGTGTGAACTTTATCTGATTTGCTGCTTGGTATTAGGTGAATGATTTTTGAAGGAAATACTTTGTTATAACTGCACACTAGGAATCTTTAAGCATTAAGTCCGCATTAATAGACATTAGTATCAGATCATTCGTGGCTTATGATAATAATATTATTATTATTAATTATTATTATTAATTAATTTTTTTCTTGATAAAATCTTGACTTGTCTTGGGTAACAAACGTGCCAGATTAGACGTTCCTTCAAGATCAGTCATCCTATGGCATCTACAACGAGCGTTATTACCCAAAGCAGTCACAAGTGTTGCTATAACAATATTTCAATTTTATGCTATATCCCAATTTCAATTTTTTCACTGATGCTTGCAGACAACTTATGATTACATTTAAGGGCATTCGTTACGACATGGATAGGATCAAACTTATGATTCTTTTTTAATATTAAGATATTTTCTTTGAATATTCTTTTAGATGTATATTTTCCTGCCAGGGTTGCTGATTAAACAATAACTCAAGTTATTGAGTGCAGAGCAAATAAAAACTCTGCAAGTGTAGAGCAAATAAAAGCACACAAGCAGCAGCAAGGAAAAGTTAGATGCTCAAGACATAATCTTTAAACTAATGAGATATTAAAAATGAGCAAATATATTACAGGCTTGTGATACAATCACAGTGAAGCATTCAGTAAATTCTTATTTTCCTTAGAGCAAAACAAATCATCCACCTGTATAGTTGAGTAGTGGAGAGGCACAAACAAAAATATAATTTATATATTTTTCTTAAAAAAACAAAACAAAAAAAAACTTGTAAAAATCTTCTAATGTATCTTTAGTTGGTCAGTTATCTATAAACAAGAATAACGAGTAACATTTGAGGTGAAACACTGCAAAACAAGTCCGCTATATGCACCAAAACACAAATTAACACAAGATTGTGTTGGTTTGTGAAATAAAATAATAATCTAGCCTAAATAAAATTAAAGTGAAATATCCACAGTTTTAGAGAAGCCTATATTAAACTGTTTTCACTATTAATGACACATTTCAATAAGCATGAAATGCTTTTGCAATGTATTCACGGCAAAAGTATCTCCAACAGGATCTGGTGAAACAACAGTATCTCCAGCAGAAACGATATGCAAAGATGCTGTTTTAAATTGTAAAGAAATCTGTGTTTCTGAAACTATGAAGACAGCAGAAGTCAATGACTCACTTGAATTATTTAGCTTGACATACTACCTGCTTACTGATTTTATCCAAGGTTATACTTATACTGGTTCATGCCTAATTGTAACATACACGTATGATTTTTGATGTGTTACAGACAGACACAGATGTTGTGGTTCTGATAACTGGAGTCCTGGTGCTCATCACACTTTTACCCATGATTCCTCAAGCTGGCAAGCAACATCTCTATGAGTTTTTTGATATCTTTGGACGTCTGGCGTCTTGGAACCTAAGAAACCCAGGTATGAATAAATTACTGACTCTGAAGCTTCTGCATCAGTTTAGTCTTCAAGTCAAATCAGAAAAGTAAGTATGAGGCCTCTTAATGTTTAGAGTAGATGTTAATAAGCTGTATGATCTCTGCTCACAGGACATGTACCAGAGGTTTATCTCATCCATCTGCACGCAAGCGTTTATTCACTTTTCCACCGGCTGTATGGGATGTACCCCTGCAATTTTGTTTCATACCTTCGCTCCCATTACAGTATGAAGGAGAACATGGATACTTTTGAGGAGGTGGTCAAGGTGAGCTGGCAGTCACGGTTGCATTTGCAGGAGGTTTTTCAAATAAATGAGATTTAATACTTCAGTTACTTTATTTTAAGGTATTTATTTTAAACAGTGCTTTATTTTATATTTCACCATTGTTGCTTATCTTGTTGTTGTTTTGCCTAAATACCTGGATGATTTTTATTTCTTGTTGCTTTTACTGCTCAAAAACAATGTATTGTGTGTGTATATCGTACCTACAGGGCTTGACATTAACACCCTCTAAATGTAGGTAGATTTCACCTGTGGCTGCTTAGACAGACAACCCCACCAGTCACTTTAAATAATTTTTCAATTGCCAGTGTTGCCATGTCACTAAAAATTAGAATTTTATTTTAATCGTTTGTCAATATGCGTGCAAATGTTATCTTTGAATCGTGAAGCAGCACGAGCAAAAGAAAGCAGGTGAATACCAAATGAGAGGATGATCAGGTGCACAGTGAGACTAACAACAGCTTTAATAGGAGATTACCTCTCCATTTATCTATAGTATAGTAACTGGTAATCTGTGACCTTTAGCCTGGGCAAACTACTGTGTATAGTTCTAAATACATGAAAATATTTTTTTAAATGTCAGTCGTTTTTTTAAGAATTTTTTTGTTGAATAAAAAGTTATATTTTGATTGTTTTGACCCATTATTTGAAATTTGTGGCAAGGAAATAATTAGTTTAATGTGGCCAGAGAAAAAAAAAGAGGTAAATCCTTACTTTTGAGCCCTAAAAAGTCAAGTAAAACAAATTGCAATGTGACGCTATGAAACCACAATTCATTTGCTCATGCTCATTGAGCAAGGTCACGACACAAGGTAAATGACCGAGTAGGCATGTGGAAAAACACGAAAATCTAAATCAAGTAATTTAAGCATGCCAAAGTTTAATTTATGCATATAATATACATTTTCCCAACATCAAAATTGTGGCTAGTGAAAATGGCGAGTGGCTAGTAATGTTGGAAAACTACTAGCCACAGTGACTGGTGATCATAAATTAATATCAAGCCCTGCATACTTTTAAGTTTAAGTTGAACAGCTTTATTAATTCCTTAAATGGATTGATAAAGTTATATTAATGAATGTAATGTAATCAGCCAATATTTTTAACCAAATACTCATGCATATTCATACAAATATACAATACAATGAGCCAGTACCTAATTGTGCTAATTTCTTCATGTAAACTTTTAGATTCCCCTTGTTATGTATTGATCAATTGTTAAATAAACCTGCATTAAAAAAACTTTTTATAGCTAGTCTTATTTTTCAATGTGTATAAGTAAAATACTAAAAAATACAACACATAGACACACACATAACATATAAAAATATTACAAACTAAACAAATGGTTATGCAGATGGAATCGCAATTTCAAACAATATTATTGAATTTTGTTTTATTTTTGCAATGGCAAAGAAGTGTTGTCTAAAGCCATTACTCTAGTTTTCAGTGTCACATGATTCATCAGAATCAGATCATTGTAATCAGACTATTGTAATGAACTGTAGTGAATAAAAAAGTTCAACCATGATTAATAAATATTTTTCTCCAGAAATGACAAATTAGTGCTTGAAATGTACTTCTGCATTAATTGCTATTGTTTATTAGTCACAGTGTCATTCCAGTCGAATATAACTGATGGTATTTGTGTCTGTGTTAATAATGCAGCCCATGCTTGAACATGTCAGAATACATCCTGAATTAGTGACCGGAACCAAGGACCAAGAGCTTGACCCCAGCCGGTGAGACATTACTGACTCATCCCACTCATTGCAGTACATAAACCACAGTCATCAGCCTTCATCCCTCATATGGTCTCTTTTCTCCAAAGGTGGAAGAGATTCGAAATCCACGATATAGTTATCGAGTGTGCCAAAGTCTCTCTGGACCCAAAAGAGGCGTCCTGTGAAGAGGGCTATGCCAGCATGCCTGAGCATTTCTGTGCTCATCTACAACAACGTCCGGCTGATTGCACTGCCAGTCCGTATGGTGACTTCCACAGTAGCTACGGTAACAGCCTCTTCCTGTCTCAAATTTGGCAAATAGCAAAATAGCAGTGATTCCAGCCTTAATTCATCATAAGTGATCATGTGTTAGGACAGTAGGTAGTCTTCTCTGGCTGTTTTAACTAGTGGTTGACTGATATATTACCAAGGCAGGTTTATCTGCCCATATTTGTAATTTTTCCAATATCGGCGTCAGCCAATAGGTTTTTTGTGTTTTTCTGACTGTTCTGAAGTATAAGAATGTTCACTTTAGACAATTTTAACCCCATTTTCAAATTATTTAAGATTAAATTACATTTTTGTTTATTCAAGTGTAATTATCAGTTAAAATAAATAAAGTTATAGCTGCTAAATATCGGCTGTCTGCCACTCTGCATTCCAATATATTTGCATTGGCCTTTAAATAACCCATATCAGTTTATCAATATGGTTGTACTATGTAAGCAATCTGATCAAATGGGTTTTCAACTAGTTTTGGAAGCGGCCATAATATGTTAAGCTCAGAACAATTTGGAGGTCGTTTACACTTGTATTTTGCACTGTCCATTTATGATTTGATTAAATTAAATGCTAATACAAACAGACCAAGTTCTTCCTGACACATTTTTGATCTTCATTAATTATAAAATTAATTTACTATGTCCCAATGTTGTGATCATGAGGATTACAATACAAAATTGGTGCTTTTTGACAACTCATAGCTTGGCACAGCACAGCATCTTGTCCTCAGAGCCATCTTTATCATTTGATTTCTGTGTAGACCTGTTTTTGCCTCTTGTTTATCATCTCATATGTGCACATATCTGTGTGCAGGGCTAAACAGGCAGTGATTTAGAAACAGGTGTTAATCTTTTTCAGCTGATGTGCTGCTTTGACACCCTATTAAGTAATAAAGTGGCGCATTCCTCAAGCAGTCATTTTGGTAGACTGGCTTCAGTATAAGCTGTTTTAGACTGAGTCAGAAAGTTTTGAGCTGTGAAACATTGAGAATGTTTTTATACTGCAGTGACCTCTGTCAAAAGCGTAGGAATAATTTACGGTTCGAAGCCAAAAATGACCAGTCTGTCTGATGAAGAAGAGCTGGAGTCAGAGATTCAATTAAAAAGAAAGTTTACTAAAGATAGTTTGCAGTTTCATCAGCAGAAGCCAGCTTCAACACTCAAAAATAAGTTTATGTCGATCTGCTTACTATCACAAAACACCAACAATTATACTCTGACATAACCTCATTAACTGCATCATACATATAGGTGTTGTAACCTGATTGGTTAAAGCACAGATAGACTAGGAAAATTTCCACATGGGTGTGTGTTTACAATTCTCAAGGGTATCTCAATATCTCAGGCGACATAGTGGCGTAGTAGGTAGTGCTGTCGCCTTACAGCAAGAAGGTCGCTGGTTCGAGCCTCTGTGTTTCTGTGTGGAGTTTGCATGTTCTCCCTGCGTTCGCGTGGGTTTCCTCCGGGTGCTCCGGTTTCCCAAAGACATGCGGTACAGGTAAATTGGGTAGACTAAATTATCCGTAATGTATGAGTGTGTATTTGTGTGTGTGTATATGTGTGTGTGGATGTTTCCCAGAGATGGGTTGTGGCTGGAAGGGCATCCGCTGCGTAAAAACAGGCTGAATAAGTTGCATTCCGCATTCCGCTGTGGCGATCCCAGATTAAGCCGAAAAGAAAATGAATTAATCTCAATATGTCAAGCATACAAACATCTGACAGCCACTATGACTGGGCTCTTCAATTGGCCGCCCGCGAATAGCAACGACTAGCCAATTTCACTATTAATTATTCTTCACTATGTTAATTATTCTTAAAGGCTTCTCAATGCCATGTTTCTGTTGCACAGTACGAAACTGCTGCAACTAAACAAAGTTATGCCATCTGTGTACTAGTTTAAAGTTCCGATTTTATACAAGGAGGCTAATTTGCACACACACTGGATTAACTATAGCAGCTGGCCATTTATATAATATGTCTTTTCCTCGCGCAAGTTTATTTCCAATGTAAGAATAAATGCCAATATGCTTGCGGAAGTGGAGCGACGCCCAGTAGAAAACATCTCACAATGTAGCATGGCTTTTTGTGCAATGTAAACAAAAGATATGTTAGATGAATTATTACAAATTATTAAAACGATTATGCATGTATAAACGCAGATTATAACAGCAGTTCATTTGTAATACTTAGCTAATATGAAGCTTAAATTTACATTAGATGTGATAACTGTGAAACTATGAATATTCTTTAGACTATAATCTTACTACCAAGTTCTATAATCTTTGCCTCCCTAATTTATATGCCGTTCAAAACATATGAATGTGTCTGAATGTGGAAGAAGCCTACTTAAGCAATGCACTGCTTTTGTTGTGCTTTGAAATACAACATTTCAATATGTTTGTAAAAAAGCCTATTGTACAATGCAGTGAAATTATGTAGTTTCATATACAACATTTTAACATTTGAATGTAGAAAAATCCAACGTGGGTGTCTTAAGGAGCAAAAATACAGCATATGAGGTCTTATATGCTGTTGTGTCATCACTTATATTACTTATATTACTCACTTATATAAGTCATATTTCTCCGGCCCCTCACTTTGGATGCTTTTCATGAACTGGTCCTAATTGAATAGCCCTGCACTAGGATGTTCAGTGCTGACCCCTGACCTGTGAAAGGATCCGCAATCGAATAGAACACACTCAAATACAATCTGTTTCTTACCCAAGGCTGAGTGTACTCTTAGCTGCTTTTATCAAAACTGGTTTAAAAACAGTATGATCTACATCCAAACTGGCTGCTTACATACAAAGGAATTAACTTTGAAAGATTTAACACATATAATGATAAATAACTCAGAAAACAGTTCTTTCCAATTCTTCAGGAGTCCAGGTCTACTCAAGAGGACCTCAGGATCTTGATCTTGAGGAAACAAATCATTTTGCATACAGAGAAGAAATCACACGCATATTATTCAAGTTTTACTCAGAAGTGGGATGAAATTAAAATCATCATATAATCTAGGCTATTAAACATTCAACTTATTAATAATCATAAAGACATAAGAAAAGGTATGTGTACGCATCCTGGAGTGGACATTCATCAGAAAAAACATGACATTAAAACAATTAATGAATAAAGATCAACAGATCAAAGGAATGGATTTCTCAGTTCATGACCTGAACTATATTTTAAAAGCACAACCTGTTTTAAGACACAAATTTAATTAGGAAACGTAAAATCTCTAGCATGCTGTCTTAAAACATAGTCAGTCTGTTTTCAGGCAACCCCTTTTTTTAATCAGAGTCAGGATGTTTTTAGTTTTATTTCATAGAGACAATTTTTTGTCCATTTCCAGGAAGTTCTTCTTCGACTCATTTCTCCACCCCTCGTCAGCCTGTCGTCCCTCCCTTGGCCTTGTCCTCTATCTCAGGGACTCAGCCCCCCTACCGCAGCCCCACTGGAACCCGTCGGCAGGTAAAAGTTTTCCAAACTCTAAAATCTCACTTTACACTTTCTTAATTTTAGCAGCCCAGCCTAACTGACAATGTGGAAGTATGAGAGTGAATCCAGTGAATCAGTGTTCTGCACATAAACAGATCCGGGTTGTCTTTCTGGTTTCTGCAACAGCAGCAGTGCAGGAATCAGCGTCTGCTTCCCTCCTCCCTCTTGTTGTTTGTCAGCTTGTCAGCTGTTGTCTATAAATCAGCCATCCCTGAACCCCTCCCGTCCCGCTGCACAGCAGAGCTCCCCCTCCTTCTCCCACCATGAATCATCTCCTTGTTCTCCAGGCAGGCTGAGGAGCCCAGAGGAAAGGAGGGGAGAGGTGTTGAGTCATTCCGGTGGGTGTGCAGGGCTTTAAAAAGAGAAAAACACGCCATCTCCTAGCTGACGCAAGAAACGGTTGTCTTGGTGATGCGGCTGACGCTAAAGCGCATGTTTCTGCCCACTGCCAGGACCTTTATTGTGCTCAACCCTTTGCAGATGGAAAACAAATGGTGTTGTGTTGTTTTCTCCGCTTATATTTTAATGTCAGATTCAGATTTTTCAAGATAATATGATCTGCTGTGATCTGCTGATAACATTCTGATTGCTCATGTTTTTCAGAGCACAATATCTCACTTGCTGTTAAAGCGAAGCATCTTTTAAGATGTTTGAAATAATCTCTCTTTTATTTGGGGCTAGATGATGAAGTCTTTCAAACGTAATTCACACTACAGCGACAGACCGCAGTAAACAATCAGGGCTTTGTTGAATCAGTGTTTCCCATGTTGGCATCTGTCTGAGCTTGTTTTTGCAAGTTTAAAATACTGAATTGGCACTTGTCAGGTCGTAGAAGTGACATGCTGTAATCTGGTGATTGACTACATTTGGCCGTGCGGTGTCAGTTGAGCATCTGTGTGTGTTTACAATTGGTAGGTTTGGAACCAACTTCTGTGCATTTGATGTGAAAGTGGCCGTTTGAAGCCTGGTGCACACCAAACAGTTGGACTTAAAATGATCTCAGTCTGCTTTCAAATAAACTCTGCTGTGAAATTAATCCCAATATACAGACCAAATACATCTTAATGAACCAAAATCAAGGTGGCACTCTGGCCCAGTGATTAGCACTGTCACCTTACAGCAAGAAGGTCGCTGGTTCAAGCCCAGCTAGGCCAGTAGTCATTTCTGTGTGGAGTTTGCATGTTCTCCTCGTGTTGGTGTGGGTTTCCTCCGGGTGCTCCGGTTTCCCTCACACTCCAAATAATTGAATAAACTAAATTGGCTGTAGTGTATGACTGTGTGAATGAGTGTGTATGCAGTTGTGGCTGGAAGAGCATACGCTGCTTAAAACATATGCCGGAGTAGTTAGTGGCTCATTCCACTGTGGCAACCTCTGAAATAGACTAAACCAAATGAATGAATGAATAAATTAACAAAAACAGCATGTTTTGACAATGCAATTATAAAAAGAACAGCATACAAAGTAAACAACATACAATAAACATAACATATTATCACTTCAGATTTTAATAAGTTACGATTTAAAAAGGTGTAAAAAAGGAGAGAAAACTTAACATTTAGAATATTATATTATTACTAAAGGAAATGGATGTTAATAAACAAGGACACACAATCTTAACACTTAATTTGTTTATTCCTCTATAAGGAAATGTGATAAAGCCTGCAAAAGAGAGGCATGTATATGAGCTGTGTACAGTGCATTTGAAAATAAATAGAAATATATATATATAAATAATATAACCAAACCAAAAAGTTACAGGAGGGAAAAAAGAAAAAGAGTTGCGCCAAAGCAAAGAACTAAACAAAACCAACAGCCACATAGAACACAAAATCCCTTTAAACTTACTAAAGAAAATAAAAAATGTGAAAAAGAAATTGAAATCTTCAGGTCATGTGATGCCAATACCATACACTCCCTAAAATAATAAACAAAAATACCTAGTGTTTCTGAACAATCAAATGACTATGGGCAAAATTTATGTTGCGCGACTTGATTACCTGTTCCTTTTCCCCCAAAAAGGAATGATAAACTCTTAAGCCATATTGAAATAACAGTTGCTTTGATTAGTTCAGAGACAGATTAGTTCATGATACAGAAACAGGAGCAAACGTGCACAGGACAAACTCACTCACACACAACACTGAACAAACGAGGCGTGCCGGTCATATTTAAAGTCCACAGAATGAAGCCTGATTGGTCAGCAAAGAAACACCCTTATAAGTAGTGACAGGCTCGGGATCCAATCAGCAGATACCTGAGAAGGAATAAATAGCAGAGCAAAAGATGAGCGAGACAGAGAGCAAATGACAGACAAAGGGAGAGAGAGTGACAGAGAGGGTGAAAGCACAAAAATACAAACTCTCACGTACGTAACAATACACATTTACGTAATACAAGTATAGTATTAATTAAAAAAAATATCTTATTCACCAAAAAGTGTGGTATTATAATCTCTGCAACAGTATTGCATAAAACCTCTGCTAGACAGTTTGTGGAACGTGTAAACCAAACAGTCCATAAAGCATAAATATAGTAGATGCCATCTGATAATCACTAGATGAGTTTGTGTAAGCCGTCAAGGGACTGATTTTATCTGTGCTTGTGTTTATTTTTAGAACTCCAGCTGTGAATTTAATGCCACATATGGGGTTAAGGATTCTCTCTGGAGCCCCTCCTCCCAGTGTGGGATGGCCACTCCCCCTTCCTCCCGTGGGATGTCACCAAACCCGGAACTGTCCCAGAGTGCCTCTCACCTACCGAGCCGCCTCTACAGCACACCTGGTGACTATACTGTCTACGCTTGTTCACAATGTTGATATTTATCATGCTGGCACGTGTGTCTGGCTCTCCATTTCATTAAGCTTTAGTGTGAATTGGGTGTTTTGCTGGTTCTCATGCAGCAGGTGGAAAAGGCACCCCGTCCTCCAGCACGCCTGCAGCTGCAACACCTCCTCCTAGTCTATCAGATGAGTATCCCCCTGTATCGACGCCACGCAGCACCGCCAGCCCACCATGCAAGGTACTCTGTTCATTACAAATCCTTTACTTGTTCCTAAAAAAGTGTCACTTACTTCTGGAGAATGGACCCTTTGCACACGTTTAACTGTGATCATAATCTTAAATCCTTGAAAGTTTTTCATATTTAGAATTTTTTTTAAACGTATGAATATTTATATGTATTTATGAATGTATTGAATCATCTTTGCGTCTAATAAAAAAAAAACAAATTACTGTTTATGTGAGGTGTTTCTCAGGCAGTGTCTATGGGGCTGAGAGTAAATTTGACGTTATTCTCTCCTCTGGCTGCCGTCATCAATCTCACACAGTTTTTTTTCTTTTTCTAAACATCTTGATAACACCATCATGGCGTTTTTCTTGTATTATTTCAGCAAATAGGGTTAAAAATACATTTTTGTACTTTCCGATTCACAGCACTATAAGTTTACCCAACCATGATGCCTTCTGCTAATGAAAAACCTGGAAATGTGAAAAGGATCTATTTAAAAGACATTTTGAAATCTGATGAAAGCCACTGTATATTTTGAACACCAATAAAACAGCTTAAACACTTCCTTGAGATAGTTCTTATAAAGATAGAAAAATTTCCTTTCATTTAAGGTCTTTGCACTCTTAATTTCAAAATTTTGTGTTTTTTTTATTTTTGTTTGTATTTAAAAAATTAATTACGGACAAAATCCTTGCACCTTGCCTGGTTTATACTTCTGCGTCAAGTGATTGGTGTAACCCACTGTTTATGGACACACACACACTTGCCAAATAGCGGTAGGCAAAAGCAGTGGTTTTTAACCATCTGCCACATTCTGTCTTTATATTAGAAAGTGACAGCATTTTTTATTTAGGTTTTTGCTTGTGCAAAAAAAAAAACCCAATCCTGTTCTGATTTTTTTTATTTTTGTAATGGTTGAAAGCTTTTGACGCAGTGTGTCAAAGTCAGCTTTATTGTCAATTCAACCACATGTACAGGACATGCAGAGAATTGAAATACAAAAAGTAGAATTCATAAATTTATTTTTTTTGGGCTTAGTTCCTTCATTAATCAGGGGTCGCCACAGCGGAAGGAATCGCTAACTTATCCAACATATGTTTTACACTGTGGATGTCCTTCCAGCTGCAACCCATCACTGGGAAACATCCATACGCTCTCATTCACACACATACACTATGGACAATTTAGCTTGGTCAATTCACCTGTACCTCATGTTTTTGGACTGTGGGGGAAACCGGAGCACCTTGAGAAAACCCACATGAACATGGAGAACATACTAATGCTGAGTTCAGACTGCATGATTTTCAGAGTAGTCGTGTCACAGATGTTTTCACACTGCATGACTAACTGGGCTTGCGTTTCGTCACTGCTTTGTTTACACTGCAAGATGGATTGGCGACAGGGACTTTCACATTGCATGACTTTACTCTGAAAAGAATCGCCGACAACTTCATCCAAACTACGTCTCACAGCCAAAAACACGTAGTAAATCTTTTGTTATTAACTACATAATGAGAAAGAAGCCTTTAATGGGGTAGAAAATGTACATATTTGCTCACCTGGGTTTAAAGGGAATTAGCCATTTCTCCTCAACGTTGATAATAAACTAATTTCTTTCTGTATAAAACGTCAAACAGACACCGTTGCTCCTGAGTCCTGTCAAACCTCCACTAGTTTTTCCTCCATTTCGTGGGTCCAAAAAAAACTGAAAAAGAGCGCTTTTAACTTCTCTCCATGCCTCCAGCTGGCCTGCAGCAGGTATACACACACACACGCAAGTGAATTCCGCTCTCTCATTGGCTGTAGGCGATCGCTGAATTCGCTATTTTCAGTCAAAACTCAATTCACACAGCATGATTTGAAAGCATGCCAAATATCTCGCAGGCATCGGCGACTCATCATTGATTCTCTCAGATCGCGTCTTTGATAGTTCATACTGTGTGATTGTCACTTACGTGCACGAGCACCGATTTGCCTGTGATTTCAGACATTTGTCGGCGATTTCTCAAAACCGGTCGGCGAGCCAAAATCAGGGCAAAAATCACGCAGTCTGAACTAGGCATAACTACACACAGAAATGCCCAACTGAACCAGCAACCTTCTTGCTGTGAGGTGACAGCGCTACCCATTGTGCCACTGTGACACCCCAAAAGTAGATTTTTAAAAAGAAATTACAATAAATATAATTACACATAATATAATTTAAAAAATAAGTTAAAATAAAAATTGTAAACAATACAATTACACTTAAGGGCACATGGCAAGGAGTGCAACCCAGAGTTGTGAAGATGAGAAACAGTATTTAGTGCAAGAAGTACACTATAATGCAAAAACGTGAATGTGATTAACATAACATGAGGTAGAAAATGAGTTTTTATGTGTGAACATTTTGGACGTAGTTTACAATAAACTATACTCACAGCAAATTTCTTTAATCCATTTAACACTAAACAAGATGTTCTGAACAAAGTTGCAAACCAGCAGCAATTCACATGCAATTCACAAATACCATGTACAGTAATGGCTGCAGCTTGCCATCATTCTTCAAAATATCTTCTTTTGTTATCAGCAAACTTTCCTTTTAACCTTTTTTCTGTAAAATAATCTCATTTTGCTTGTGTACAGTTTCACCATTTTTACGATTTTGTTCTCCACAGGATGGTAGACCTTTAGACCATATTAAACCGGTCTTGGTCAGACAAGAGCAACTCAGAGAGTCTGAAAAAACTGGGCCTGAAACGATGAATCACAGAGGTATGTGATGAGTAAGAATCATTTAAAACACAGGAATAATCTTACTATGATGTACAAAACAGCTTTATATGAAAGATTAAATGCTTTTCAGGTTAGAAGAACTTTAGCATGTTAAAATGCAGAGCAGGAAATGCAAATGTTAAGGCCTATTCATACAAGTATCAAAAATTATGGATATGTATGAAATTAGCGACAACAGTATCACAGCTATAACAATATTTCCAGAGAAGAATGATATTGTTGTATAAAAATCCCGTTATAATTCAAGACTAAAATGTCAGACCAAAAAGCTATTATATACGCTTGTATGAAACCTCACATGATCCTCCATTGGTATGGGTTCTAATATGGTTATAGATACAGTTATTATTCTTGGTGTTAATGGAGTTTTAGTTGTTACATTTTTAAGATTGAGTTTTTTATCTGACCCAGATGGCAGAGGTGAAAACATGCCCATGACCCTGACTGAGCTCTCTGTGTACATGAAGGAGCAAGAACAACTGAGGATCGAGAAGGAGAGGGAGGATGGTATAAACTTGTTTTCTTTCTTACTTTGACTGTAATGCTGTAATTCTATTAGTTTGCAGGGTCAAATTCAATTTTTCTGTTACATTTTTCTTGGCACATTTTTAATTGTTAAATTACATTTTTATAGTTAAATATCTGTCAAAATAATTACCAATTATTATATAACATGTTTACAGTTTTACAACTTTTACATTTACATTTTAGATAATGTTTAGGTTTTTCTTTCAAGTATGTTTAATTAAATAATTAAAATAATTTCTTTTAACAAAATAAACTAACTAAAATACACTTTGTAGTGTATGTAGTGTAATATGCTGCAGTATTAAGCCTTTATTTCTATCACAATTTTTAACACGACAAATTGTAATACTATACATCTTTTAACTATCCTTTAACTCTTTTTTCGAATAAATTATTTAACGATGCATCCCCAATACTGATTCATTCACTCATTTTTTCTAAATTTTTGACATTCAGTAAATTAGAGTGGAATCCATAGATTTTTATATATATATATATAGATAGATCATAGATCATCAATATATACACTAGATATTGCATACGGACCCTGAGCAATGTGTCAATACCACCGGCAATTTTGTACAGTGCTCCCAGGACAAATGACATTTGTCTAAAAAAAGACTAAAGCCAAAGTGAAGATGCTGGACTTTAGCACCGCGTATGGGTGGTGTAACGAGCAAACAAATAAAAAAAAGCATAAAGGCACAACATTTCATTGGTAAGATTTAGTTTTTTAAGTTTTTGTATATTACGAACGTTCGTGCTAATCAAGTATTGATGGTAATATGGTCCCTTTCTGCACTGACCATAAGGTAAAGTAGCACCATCTTGCATTGAATACTAGGCTTATGCTAGTTTTGTTAAATAAAATTAGCAAACAATGTAAGTGAAATATGACAACAAAGCGCTGCGGTGCCAGAAACTTGTATTATTGTTGGCTAAGTCAAGTAACGGCTAGTTTTTGAAGTAAGGAGTCTCTCTCCTTTACATAATGACAAAATCATTAAGTTGTAAAGATCTGTCGACGCCTCCATTAATTTTACCCTCCATCCCCTCAGCTGCCATCACAGAGGAGCTCCTGAAGTTAACCGAGGAGAAGCGGGATCTAGCCGGCCTCCGTGGCTTCGACTCTCCATTCTTCAGCACTACAGAGACCCTGACTGGAGCACAACAGAAACCCCTGCCCTCCTCTATTCTTCACAACACCATCTCCACCCCTGACAAAACTGAAATAACACCCAGTGACAAAGGAAGAGTCAGCAGAGGCCCATCCCAAGAGCAACCCTGGTCCTTCCAGCCAGTGTTCATGCCCATCGAACACCCGACGCACAGCCTCCTTCATCGGAGCCCGTCAGCACCAGATGACGAGGCCTTAAAATTTGGCTTGTGTTCCCCGAGCCCATGCAAACCTCCACCCATGCCATACGAGGCTCTGTTTGACATGGCTCTGCCTCGGGCTGCCTCTCTTTTTGTGGGAAGGAAGACTTCAGAGATTGTGCAGCGAGTGGCGATGGAGAGGTTTCAGAGAGGGGATTCTGGCAGGCAAGGGGAGGACGAGGGTGTGGAGGGGGTCGCCTCTGCTTCGCCTCTGGAGGTGCTGGATCGCCTCGTGCAGCAGGGTGGAGACGCCCATGACAAAGTGCTAAAGAGGTAAGGCTTTTTGCTTCGAATGTGGCTTGCAATAAATCAAGCTTGTGGTCTTGTGGCCTGGTGATTAAAGATTTGAGGATTTAATCCAAAAGAACGGATCAATAAGTTGACTTTGCTGTGTCTTTGAGCAAGAAGCTAACACTCCACTTTTTTGGAAGTAGGTTCATCTTTACCAAGCGTGACATTTGAGTTTTTTTTTTGATCTCCAGTTATGGCGGGAGCATTTTTAGCCTAGCTTAGCAAAAACTATTGAATTTTATTAGACCATTAGCACCTTGTTCAGAAATGTCAAAACAAGTAATTTTCCCATTTAAAGTCTAAAACTTCTGTAGTTACATTATGTACAAAGACTGATGGAAAATTTTAAAGTTACTAATTTTCTTAGTTGATTTGGCTATACTCTTGTTCTAGCATAATAATCAAGGAACTTTGCTGTCGTACCATGGCTGCAGCTTTTGCAATAATATGCGTCTGTGTCTGATATGTTCATATGTCTGAAAACAGTCCCCAGTAATGTTGGGTGATGTCGACCAATTCGGAATCATGACGTCGACAAACTTTGTTGGTAAAGAAGGTGCACAACCAACAGTGTCTAGTGTTTTTGCTAAAATTACTAAGCATGAAAGCGAAAGACTGAAGCAGTGTACTGATGCTGTGACACGTTACCTGATAGATTCAAAAGGACAAAGAGTTGTTAGATAGAGACGAAATAAATTAAGTATCACATTTAATAACTACAGTGAGACGCAAAGTTTTTGTGCGTACGCAGCATTGATACATGAGGCCCCTGATCTCCGGGTCTGACGGAAGCACTTTCAGCTTCATTTAGCATAAATCATTGAATCGAATTAGGCACAACTATATAACAGAGTATCTGAAAGCAGTTCTGAATCATCTCTCAAAAATATCTCCATTTTACAAGCTCATTTCTTCAGATTTGCAGGGCGAGGCAGTGGCGCAGTAAGTAGTGCTGTCGCCTCATAGCAAGAATGTCGCTGGGTCGCTGGTTCGAACCTCGGCTCAGTTGGCGTTTCTGTGTGGAGTTTGCATGTTCTCCCTGCCTTCGCGTGGGTTTCCTCCGGGTGGGTTTCCTCCGGGTGCTTCGGTTTCCCCCACAGTCTAAAGACATGCGGTACAGGTGAATTGAGTAGGCTAAATTGTCCGTGTAATGGTATGAGTGTGTGTGTGTGTGTGTGTGTGTGGATGTTTCCCAGAAATGGGTTGCGGCTGGAAGGGCATCCGCTGCGTAAAAACTTGCTGGATAAGTTGGCGGTTCATTCCGCTGTGGCGACCCCTGATTAATAAAGGGACTAAGCCGACAAGAAAATAAATGAATTTCTCCAGATTTGCACGATTTTCAAGCGTAATTACTGTGTAACATCATTGTGCCTGCTGCAGTCATGGTATTGCAGCAAAGTTCCTTGATTGTTACACGTGAATGAGAGTATAGAGGAATTACCAACTTACGTCGCTCATGACGTCACACAGGTTCCCTGTTGCAATAGTCAAATTCGACTTAACTTTTACCGTACACCACACTGCTTTTAATGCCAACCGCAGACGTCTTTGAGTAAAAGGGAGCTGAATGAAGTGACGACCTAATTAAAAATGCTCGACTCTCCCGTTCTCATTTCAAATCAGGTAAGGTCATGCTTTGCTGAATCATGCACATTACTCGTTTTTGATTGCAGCATATAGCAGATTTCAGCAAACACAGTTAAATACGTTTAATTAACTGCGAACACTGAATGCTTTGAATGAAAAGTGTAAGTTCACATGCCCTGCTGTACAGGTGCCTTCGCTGTCAGAATGCAGTTGTTTTGCTTGTTGATGATTACCCAGGTCTTGTATAACGTTTGCTCTGACTTTTTACCTTGTCTTTGGCTAGGCATAACCTCGGTTTTTAGCACTACATAGTTTTGAATCTGGTAATTATGGAGCATTATTTTATTGCACATGACCACACAGAACAAAACTGTTGACATCCAAAAACTTGTAGGCCTTTAACTTCTCTCTAAAAACACTTGGAGTTTTAATGAGATAGTTGTATATTTCGGACTGGATGCTTGGCCTTTTTGTCGTTAGTTTTGCTGAATAACTGTGCTTATCACTGGGTGACAAGCTGTTATAATACGCTGAAAGTATTATGTAGATAATATGTAATTAATATATAATCGATATATCCTATTTCTAAGACAACAACAAACTCTGTACCGCATCAGGTGTCATTCCCTCGCTGTAAATGCTAGCACTCCAGTTTTTTTCCCCAACTTCGCTGCGCGCACATCCTGAATGTTTACAAACATGGTAATTCGTCTGTAGTTCTTGGGCATATCGACCTTGAAAATAGCAACTTTTTATTTTCTTCTGATCTTACACAGTGTAACTACAGAAAAGTCAAGCATTAAATGGGAAAATTATCAAAACTGGTCATTTTTAAGTCATTTGCTAATAGTCTAATCTTATTCAGTAATCTGTGCTAAGCTAAATGTGCTCCTGCCAGAGCCAGAAACTGGCTGAATGGATTGAAAAATGGTAAATCTCAAGTGTTTAAGTCTTGGGAGTTGTAAAATGAGCCTATTTTTAAAAAGGTGGAGGATTCCTTTAAGCAGAACCATGTCAAACTGGTTGCAGATTTGTCCACTAAGTTGCCATTACAGTGAAACAACTGTCTGCATTGTGCTGTGTCACATCCACAGCCACACAAATCAGTCCACAGCCTAACAGGAGAGCCAGTGTTGACCGAACACAATCAGAGCCCTCTGTCCTCCTGTACAGGCCTTACAAGAAGACACATAATTGAGTTGGGTTACTGGGCTCACACAAAATTGAGGTGTTTTGACTGTGGGATAAGAGATGGTTCTGTGTGGAAAGAGTATTTCTGCCAGAGATACAATGTGTCCAAAATTATTGTCACATTGCAACCGACCCTGTTGATCCCCTGTTTTTGTTTTTTTCTTCCTTTTCTCACAACATATCTGCAATCGCTCTCAGACTGCCCCTGCCAAGCAAGTCAGCTGACTGGACACACTTTGGAGGTAAACAACACCGCTTGTGGAAAATCAGTTCTTTCAGAGCACAGAAAAACAATGCCGTATTTCAGACAGGGACAAACATTTAAAGGTGAATTAAAGGGATAGCGATTCCAAAAATGAACTTTCATGCTCTAGTCATGAGGGTGAGCAAATGACAGAAAGATAATATTTATAAAAAATGTTGTTGATCCCCATTGAATTTCTTTGTATAGACAAAAACAATGATGCATTTATGTTCTGTAGAGAAAATTCATGGGAGTTATTAAATGATGGTCTCTTTTTTTTCCTAGTTGAAATAACATGCATCTAAAAAAGCAGTTTTGCTTTAGATATATCAGTTAAAGCTGAGGTTTTCTCACAAAATTATGCTTTATTTCATTTGAATTTAAATTAATTAAATTTAAAGGTGGTTCCCTGCGTTCACATGGGTTTCCTCCGGGTGCTTCGGATTCACCCACATTCCAAAGACATGCAGTACAGTTGAATATGGTAGGCTAAACTGTCCGTTGTGTATGAGAGTGAATAAGTGTGTATGCATGTTTTTTAGAGATGGGTTGCAGCTGGAAGGGCATCAGCTGCGTAAAACATATGCTGGATAAAGTGGCGCTTCATTCCGCTGTGTCGACCCAAGAGTAATAAAGGGAGTAAGCAGAAAAGAAAATTAATAAATGAATAAAGGTGGTTTTTAGGGGTGTAACAAGATCTCTTATGACAAGATCTCGCAAGATTAAATTGTGACAAGATTTCTCGTCAAGTTGAAAAGTTGTTTCGTAAGTTGTGATGTTATGATGGAGTGCGAGGATGAAATTAAGATTGGAGGCAGGATTGGATTTGAACTGCAAATTGCACACACCTGGCAACCTAGGCTGGCTTCGGAGTTGCACGTGTCACATGGTTGCTTGGGCGAGAAGCCAGTCAATAGAGTTTATAGCTAAATATAGTGTTTGCATGTCCTTTATGGCATGGAATAAATAAAATAGAAATAAAATACAATTCATTACATTCATTCAAAAACAATTCATGTTTTTTTCTTTTTTTTAAAAAAAAAGCACCCAAATTGTTTTGCAGTTTGTTTTACAGTATTTTTTTTTTCAGTTAAATAAAAATCTACTTTTCATTCATTCGTTCATTTTCGTTTCTGCTTAGTCCCGTTATGATTCCGGGGTCGCCACAGTGGAATAAACCGCCAACTTATCCAGCATAAGTTTTACGCAGCGGATGCCCTTCCAGCCGCAACCCATCTCTGGGAAACATCTATACACACTCATTCACACACATACACTACAGACAATATTTAGCTTTCCTAATTCACCAATAGCCCATGTATTTGGACTGTGGGGAAAACCGGAGCACCCGGAGGAAACCCACGTGAACGCAGGGAGAACATGCAAACTCCACACAGAAACGCCAACTGACCCAGCCGAGGCTTGAACCAGCGACCTTCTTGCTGTGAGGTGACAGCACTACCTACTGTAGTCGCCACTGCGTCGCCCTTTCCATTCATATATTAGCAAATATTTTGTTAATATTTAACATCATAAAAAATGTTTCATTCAAATAGGCTATTAGCAAAATATTTAGCAGTGTTTGCATGCCCTTTACTCTAAAGAATTCACTAAACTAGAAGTAAACTAACATCCATTACAAGTTGTTCAAGTGTGTCCTCACACCCTTAGTGGTTTTATATGGATAAAAGGCTTATTAAATTCAAAGAAACTGTAGTGATCACTGTAGTGAAAATAATGTAGTAGTCAACATTTTAAGTGGATCAAAACTTTTTATTTAGGTTGTTTTAAAACTATTTAACAACATTCATTTATGTCTTAGGACAAATTTTTATTTTATTTGTTGATTTAACTCTTCTTTCTTCTTGTTGACAGGTTCAGCTCCTCTGGATGAGTTGCACACACTGCGCAGTCAGCTTCTGCTTCTACACAACCAGCTCCTGTATGAGCGCTATAAGCGAGAGCAGCACGCCGTTCGCAACCGACGTCTGCTTAGGCGAATCATCAACGCCACTGCACTCGAGGAGCAGAATAATGCTATGGTAATTTCAATAAAAAATTATTGATTTTCAGACTACATTTACACTAGAATCACTAGGTGTTTCTCAACCACATTCCTGGAGGACCACTGCATGTTTTGGATGTCTCCTTTGGCTGTCACACCCATTACAGGTCTTTCAGTCTCTGCTAATCAGCTGAAGATCTGAATCAGGTGTGTTTGGTTAAGGAAACATGGAAACTGTGCAGAGCTGGTGATCCTCCGGAAATGTGGTTGAGATACACTGCCTTAAAAGAACACTCCAGTTTTTTGGAAATAGGCTCATTTTAAAGACCTCTAGAGTTAAACAGTTGAGTTTTTCCATTTTTTAATCGATTCAGGTGATCTCTGAGTCACTTTTACCTTAGCTTAGCATAAGTCATTGAATAGGATTGTACCATTATCTTCTCGCTCACAAAATTCGAAAGAGTTCTGACAAGTTTTCTATTTAAAGCTTGACTATTCTGTAATTACAATGCGTACTAAGTCAAGCTTTAAATGGGAAACTTGTCAGAACTCTTTTTTTTAATTTTGTGAGGGAGATTCTAATGGTCTAATTCGATTCAAAAGTTTATACTAAGCTAAGCTAAAAATGCTTCTGTCACACCCAGAGATAAGCTGAATTAATATAAAAATTGTAAAACTCAGCTATTTAATTCCAAAGGACATGCAAAATAAGCATATTTCTATTAAAAATGAAAGTGTTCCTTGAAACTGTCAGTGGGTAAAATTTGACCTGTTTATATGGTTGAAAAACACACCATGCCATTGTCTTTACAACGTAATGCCTGGAGTCATGAAATGATTATATTTAGCCCGCAGACACACCATTAATCATGGCATTTAATCCATTATTTTCATTAAAAAAAATAAAAATAGTTCCTTTTTTTTAGTTAAGCAATGTTTGGTGGCAAAATGCTTTCACTATTGTTGACCACTAGAAGGCGTCAGATACCAATGGTGTTGATATGTGTATCTGTGTATTTGTTTCTACAGAAGGACCAGCTGAACCTGCAAAGTGTGGACATCTTGTCTTTGAGAGAGAGCCTTCAGGTGGAGCAGCAGAGATACCGGCAGCTCTGGGACGACCGAGAGACTGTAGTTACACGCCTGCACAGCCAGATACGACAACTGCAGCAAGCCAGGGATGACTACTACACTAAAAACCAGGAGTTACAGGTGCTTTTACCCTTGTACACGCTATCTTTATTTTGTATTTCTTTTATTTTAATGCTTACCATGTTCACATTTAGACCATGTTTACACACTGTGTTAAATGAGATGATTAGAGAACAAGTATATGTACGCAAGGAAGAAATAATCTTGTTTACGGATTTCTTTTAGTAGGGATATAGAGACTTTTTATGATCTTTTCATCTGATAGTAGAAAATAAGGTTGTTTAAATTAATTGAGCATGAAAGGGGACAATGGCTGTTTCCGAAATCATATACTTCCATTGTATATAGTGCTCTAAAAACAGTATGTGAGCAGAGTAGTTTGTCCGAATTCATAGAAATTTAAAAACAGTATGCGAGAAGTATCCGGATGACCTACTACTTCCGGCGAAATTCTAAAGTGTGGATCCGATGGGCACTACACTATCCCATGATGCGCCATGAGAGAATTCATTAGTTGGAGTGAAGCGATGCAATTGACGCAGGTAGGTCGTGTGAAGATGACAAAATGGCGGATGTAGTACATCTGTGTTCTATTCATACTACTCTCACTCACACAGTATAGAACATACATTCATAATGGTGGAGTAGTACATTTACATTCAATCCAGTACCTACTTATTAGTTGGGGATTTTGGATGCAGCCTATGATAAAAAAAAACAGTATGGAGAACAGCAGTGTTTGTTTCTGTCAAAAATCAAATGCTCTGAGATGTATTGTAATTACGACTGTCTTAGGACTGTATTTAGCACCATCCGATATATGAACGTAGAATCAAAATGATGCATAGTTTAAAATCAAAATGTTAATTTATGCATCTTTCCCCCAATCAGAGCAAGCTTCAAGAATGCCAGAAGCGAATAGGAGAGATGGAGGCGGAGCTTCAGAAGGCCAATAATGAGGTGTGCCACACAGGACACCTGCTGAACCAGCTTACTGCCAAGGTAAAAATAATCACTCAGAAAACAGCCTGTACCACACTCTTGAGTATGTTTGAGAGAGTACAGTGGTAACCCAGCAAGCATTTTTTGTTTTTAAAAGATGTCCAATAGATGTCTAAACCTAGTCGTCTTTGCTAAAACCAGGCTAAATATGGACTGTCAGTGAAAATGTAATAGACGTCTGAAAATAGGCAAAAACTAGACTCGTCATCAAATAAACAGAAATGAATGACTACACACATGAAGTCTGTCTACTCTGTCTATTTGAGGACTAGTCTAGTTTTGGGCTGTTCTTAGATTAACTATTAGATTTTCACTGACAGCCCAAGTTTAGCCTTGTTTTATCCAAGCTGTCTACGTTTAGATGTCTATTGGATGTCTTTTAAACATAAAATTGTTTGCTGGGAAATATTTTTGCAGTCATCTTTGCCTTTAAATTTTGTCAGTACAGTGCTATTATGTATGTCCTACTTTGTTTTCCTCAGTTGTCCTCTAGTGAAAGTATTCAGCAGCAGTTGAGTTTTCTGAATAAGCAGCTGTTGCTGTTGGGAGAAGCCCATAAACTGTGTGTTCAGGAGCTTCATCAGGCTGGACCGGATACTAGCAAGGTACAAGCCAAAGGAAGCAGAAGCACAGCGCCTTATATCATCTGTGACATAAATGTAGTACGTTACATTTTCTGCTCTGCCGTCTTTCCTGTAGGAGGTGCAGATGTTGCAGACGTCTTGGGGGAAGGAGACGGAGCGTCTGAAACAGAATCTGTTACTTCAGAGCCAAAAGCTGGACGCGGCTCAGCAGAGAGTGGCGGAGCTGGAGACTCAGCTCTCTAAGAAGGAGCACCTGATCGCAGAACAAAAGAAGTTTTTGGAAGATGTCAAGGCTCAGGCTAAGTATGATCTGAATTGAAGGTCTTTGTACCGTACAGACAACTTGACTCTTGGAAACATAAAATACCTTGTTGGTACTGCTAATGTATGAATTGAGTCGGTCTTGTTTGTCTTTTGCTCAGAGGGGAGCTGCAAGCTTCTGAGAGCAGGTATCAGGCACAGAGGAGAGTGACTCTGGCTCTGCAGACTGAGCTTCTGCAGCTCTATAGCAGGCTGGAAACAGAAGATTCTTCTGCTGCTGATTCGGCCTTACAGGCAGAGGGTGTTACTGAGCCTTGCATTACCACTGAGCCCAGGTAAGCCTTTATATGTAAGAACATTGGTAAATGCAGAACTTGTAATTATCTCTGAATGTGTTTGCATTTAGATATAAGTTTATGTTTAAAGTCCCCTAGAAATCAAAACTAACCATTTTGATGTTGTTATCTCACATTGCTAGTTTTGTGGTGAATAATTCATCTGTGCATGTCATTGAGAACAAACGTTTGTCTTTCTAATCTTTAATTGAAATCTGGAAACGCACCTGATTTTTTTTTCAGTTAATTTGTCAGATTGCATATATCTTTGGAATTGGGCGTGGCTAACATATTTATGTTTTGACAACAAACAGAACTGGTGAGGAGGAGGAGGTGTCTGTTAGGTTGTAATTACTCTTCCCAAACCCTGTTCAGATCTTACGGAATTAAATGCCTATTTTACTACATCCATTCAGCTCACAGGTGACAAAACAAGCCACGCCCACTGTTTTCTCATTTAATATTCTGTTTCTCTCAGAACTGCATCACAATACGAATAAAACGGTTGCAGCTTCCCGCTCAAAGGGACTTTAATATACAAATTGTATAGGTAATATAATTACAATTTATATGTAATAATAAATATATAATGTAATATATATGTAATAAAATTAATATGTTAATTAAATGTGTAATATGACATCTATTATTATAATTATATGTAGAAAATTATTATAAAAACAACGTCAATAATACAGAAATGTAAACGTTTTATATTATGTTATTTAAACCACTCACATTTGTACTCATAAACGGCTAGCATTCAAATATTTTCTACAATTAAAATGCAATACTTTGCTGTGTAATCGTTTTATCTAAAGTATCTAAAAGGGATGCCCAGATCTGATCATGTGATTGGCAATCGGGCGCGATCACACAGTTTCAGACTTGATCGCAATCGGATATTACCTCCCAGTCAGGACTCAAATATATATTTATACATATTATTTTTTAACACATCTATAGTTATGCGGTGACACAGAGTTAGACCTCTTTCTTGACTTTACACAGAAGCAGCAACGCGTGCGGCATGGCATCACTTTGTTGCAGTGATGCTATTGGTTAAATGCCAGCAAAGTAGAACACTGAAGCAGTTTGAAGCGGAAAGCGCGAGTATGTCTGCGGTCTGGAGGTATTATAAAGTTGATGACAACAACATTGTCATAGAAAACTGTGAGATATGTAAACTTGTAATTGCAAGAGGGGGAGGTGCTTCTTTGCTCTTCTTTATTCTTTTTTCTGTATTACAGAAGTATGGGATCGGGTTTGGTATCGGTAAATACTCAAAATAAAATGACTCATAATCGAGGGCAAAAAAACCTGATCAGGACATCCCTAGTATCTAATTATGTTAATCTTTTATATTACTTGTTGCTTTTTTTACTCTGTTTGTGTGTTACTTCAGTATTTAATTTCTTTTGTGACATTTTGAAGGTCGTGTTTTCCTCCCTTAAATCAATGTTTTTTCATACACTTACACTTTTTTTATCTGGTTGTTTCTTGCTATCCCAGTGTCATAGTAGTCGGCGGTGCCATCAAAACAGCCACAAAAGAGGACGGAAAGCCACATCAGTCTCCACGTGGCTATGGCAGCACTTTATCACCAGGCCATCCCAAAGCCAGCTCTTCTCCGGACAACTCGGTGAACGGCAATCGAGACACTCCCCCGCCTGTCCTGGTGGAACCACCCCCTCACCGTCCCCATTCCCCCCTGGGACCCCCTGGACCCCTGGTGTCGTCTGACACCCCACTCACCGTAGGCTCCTACCCCAGCGCCAAGAGCTTTCTGGGCATGCGGGCACGAGAGTTATTCCGCAACAAAAGCGAAAGCCAGTGTGACGAGGAAGAAACTCCGCCTCCTCGTCTAACTGGCCTATCACAGGGCCTGAAAACTGAGCTCTGCACAGAGACGACAGCAAAGCGTCCGTCCGTCTCCACCACCGCACAAAGCGTCACGCTTATCACATCTGGTAAAGAGTCCCAACCCGACGCACAGAGAGCCAAAAAACAAGACACGTTAGGTTCAAGATGCCCAGAGCGACCCAGGCAGCAACCGTTGAGAATCATGGACTATAACGAAAGTCGTCATGAGCATAGCTAAAGTTATGGAAAACGGCGAGAGAGAGAATGAAGAAATGTGCGGATTTAGATTCATAGAGCGTAAGGCAAGACTCTTTCAATCTTCAGTGTTATCTGTCCCATTTCCACAAGCCGACAACAGGATTTGGAGCCAATATATTAGTCAAACCCTCACTAAAACCGGACAAGTGGAAGGAATGGACTAATGTGTTGTGTAAAGAGGTGTTTTTTTTAAGTAACTCCACTGCTTTCTTTATCAGAAGTGTCTCCGCTGCATCTTTTATTTTATTTAGCTAATTTATCTGCTCCATTTTACCAAGTAACTGTTACAGCTTTACATTTAGTGTGTTTAGAAGCAATATAAGTCCATTCAGTCTTAGGAAAGGTTCAAAACTTCAACCTTCACAACTCACCTGCGCAGAGCAAGAACAGAAGTGTTTGCTTGGATACCAGGAGTAGGAGGTTTGATGGTCATCTTATGCCAAGCAGAAGTCAGTGTTTCTTTAAAAACCTTTTAAACATGTCAAGTGCATTTTCATGAGCTCAAACTATGTTTATCTTTATTGTGTTACTGTATGTATGAGTGTGTGTATGTGTGTGATGTATGTTTGTGTCCGAGTTGAAAGCGATGACCTGTATCCCAGATTTATTTCTGGGTTAAATTGCACTCATTTCTTACTCATTTACAGAAAAAAAGAAAATCTACAGTAGTCTTGGATTATACTAAATCGGGAGAAATAAATGAGAGGAAGCCAAAAGAGAGGAAGGTTAGACATGTTTTTTAAATTATTTATTTTTTTGTCTTCTCCTCATTTCTAGCTTTTTAATTATTACCAGTCACTCGCCAGGGCTTTTAAAACTTACCAAAACATCATAATCCTAAACAACGGCTGCAAATTTGTGATCACTACCCACAAAAACCTAATCTGTAATCTCAGAAAGAAACTCTAGTGGCCATTTTGAAGTCCTATTCTAACATTCGATTCAAATGAAGTACTTCGCTTTGACGATACTAACCTTCAATCTAAATCTAAGTCATTATATTCGCTTGGATAATTGATAATAGTATGAATGATCTGCCGTTTACCCTCTCACTTTAGAGTATATTATTACTTATTTTGCTTTCTGAGTGCCAAATACTCAATCCGTAACACGATAATAGTATTCTGTAGAACTTAAATGTATTGGTTTCCGTTGTATTATTCACTCGACTGTTCTTATGCTACCACATATCAATTTGAGGGGGTAAATACAAGATCTGTACATTGATAATTGGTTGTGAGCTGTACGATACCAAGTTGGCGATTTTTGGCCATACCAAGTAGGCGATATTGAGTGGCCATGTTAATCGTCATTTAGGAATTGCGGACATGGTGGTTATAAAACTGTACCCAAATCCTGTTGTCCCCTCAGTCTCTGCTGTTCCTTCTGCCTTGCTATCTAGAGCATGTACAACAATCCTCTTTTAATGCCAACGACAGGAACCACGACGTAACAAGACACAAGGTACAATCATCGTGAAAGGAAAAGAACGTTTGAATTTGAGCTCCTTTGCTGGAGGTGAAAGTTCTGGGGTTTGTCGAGGGATAAAAAAAAAAAAAAAACGAAAGGCCGGGTCGAGTGGAAAATGTTCTTAAAAGCAGTTGCTTGTGTTAACTGTGAATGACAAAAATAAAATCGTCTTCAATGTTTTGCACTACAGATTTGGAGTTGCCTTGTCTGATTTTGCTCTGTGATTAGTTTTGGTTTGATGTCTGGAATGGAAATGAAATGCAATTTGAGGTCTACAAGCAAATGTGGAATGGATCACATCATGTTCTTGGCTGTTGGTGATCTGATTTGATGCTGACTGATATGGCCAGGGCTTGTTGCGGTAAAGTCTAGAAGAGATACAGCAGCGTCCTGAAGTTAATGATAATTATTTATATTATTACAACATTAAAATTACTGTACAACAATAATTACTGTTTACTTTTAGGAGTAATTTTAAGGTTGGGGTGGGCGCAGACATTAATAAAAGAAAATTAATAGGTAATTTGAATAATTGTTTAACTTCCAGCTGCATGCTGTATCCCTAGAAGTAACAAATGTTTGCACAGATTTGCTTCTAAAACCTGCAAACATAACGTTCACTACCTGACAAAAGTCTTGTCATCATCATCTGTTGAACTGCATCTCAATTATCACAAATACTGCAAGAGACCTATTAGAAGCCACATGGACCCGAGATTCTCACAGAAATCAGTGAAGTTTGGTAAAGGAAAAATCATGGCTTGGGGTTACAATTAGTATGGGGGTGTGCGAGAGATCTGCATAATGGACCACAACATCAACAGCCTGAGGTATTAAGACGTTTATGCTGCCTATTACATTACAAACCACAGGAGAAGGCAAATTCTTCAGCAGAATAGCACTCCTTCTCATACTACAGCCTCCACATCATAGTTCCTGAAGGCAAAGAAATGTTAGCTGCTTCAGGATTAACCAGCCCAGTCACCAGACATTATTGAGCATGTCTGGGGTAAGATGAAGGAGGAGGCATTGAAGATGAATACAAAGAATCTTGATGAACATTAGGGAGTCCTATAAGAACGCTTTCTTTGCCATTCCAGACTCACGTTATTTGAGTCATTGCGTAGATGTATGGATGCAGTCCTCCAAGCTCATGTGAGTCATACACAATATTTATTCATTTTCCACTGCGCCATGAATTTATATTCTATTCTGGACTTTATTTCTGTTTATTGACAACTTTTGTCTAAGCAAAGTTAGACCTTACTAACCTAATTAAATAATTAAAATCAAGTCATAATCCTTTTTTATTTTAGTAAAACAAGCATAATCTAGAGCAGTGGTTCTCAAACTGTGGTACGTGTACCACTAGTGGTACGCGGGCTTCCTTCTAGTGGTACACGGAGGAATGAAATATCTCATGTACATGCTACAAATAATTAAAAATTTATTATAAAATTATGTATATAATATGCCATATATTATATATAGGCTATATTTCTGAGATAATCTGCCAGGTTTTTTAACTGTGCAGAGTTGTAGCTGCTTTACTGGGCCTACTACGCTACTGTATTTCAATACTGCTCATTTTGGTGGTACTTGGAGAGACAATTTTTTTCTAAGGTGGTACTTGATGAAAAAAGTTTGAGAACCACTGATCTAGAGGGCTTTGACTTTCATATAAGCCACTTCTGATACCAAATGATCAACTAGAAGTCAAGCTATTATTTGTTGTTCCTATAACTTGGATATAGGAACTTGGACTTTGTCAGGTAGTGTAGCTGCTTGGGTTTTTAGGTGTGGAAAAAGTATTTGGGAACATTTTCAAATATAAAATATTTTATTGTTTCCAATTTATTTCTGTTAAAAGCATAGTTTGCCTGTAGTTAACTGACTATTTACTCACCCTCAAGTGGTTTTAAACCTTTTTGAGTCTCATTCTTCTGTTGAACACAAAAGAAGATGTTTCGAAAAAAGTCAGTGGTTACAAGTTTCCAGCTTTCTTCAAAACATATTTTGTAATCAACAGAAGAAATAAAATTTAAAAGGTTTGGAACAAGTGACACCCGCTTTGTTATCGCTAGATTGAATTGGTGTCATCAGTGGTTATCAGCTGATAGATATGGGCCTGTAGGAGCTTTCTTAGCCTATTGGTAGACTTAGAAGGCTGTTATCATCTATGCACATAGTTAATCAGCTATACTAAATTAATACTGTTAATAAAATCCAATTAATAGGAAATTTAATAAATAATATAAATAATTCTTGTGATTAATCAGCTATACTAATAGAGAAGACTCCAGATCTGTTTTCACATTACTGTGATGGTTGGGTTTAGGGTTGGGGTAGATGTTAATAAAATACAATTAATGGGAAATTTAATAAATAATATAAATAATTATCATGGTTAATCAGCTATATTTGAGAAGTCTGCACATGCTGATCTGTTTTTACATTAATGTGATGGTTGGGTTTAGGGATGGGGTTGGGGTAGATGTTAATAAAATACCATTAATGGGAAATTTAATAAATAATATAAATAACTTCCTGCTGCAGCTATAGCTGATTAACCATGTGGATGGATAACAGCCTTCTGAGCCTAACAGTAGGTTCAGAAGACCCCACTGGCCCATATTTATCATTAGTTGATAACACCCATTCAATCGAGTGATAAGGGTAAACATTATTCCTTTACTTATATGTTAATTTTTTAAGTTTTTTTCTGGGTATGGTTTTGCATCCATCTTAAAATAATTCAAAGATTGCTTTAATTTAGCTAACATAAAAAGTGGTTGTAAACAATTTATTTGGGCATTGGACATAACGAAATTTAATTTGTTCAACTTAATTCAACCTATATAAATTGTCATTTTCAATGTAGGTCTGAAATTTTTAGTCTCATATATTATTCATTGTATTTTATAATGATTTAAATTTTGTAAATGACGTTTTTAAATGACGCAATAGTGGTTAAAACATTTATTTCTGAATTTATCATAATTTACAGTTGGCTAAAAAAAATTAAGTTTGTGTTCCAATACATTCAAGATTGATGACAGTAGGCTAATAATTGTAAAATATTAAATAATAAATCATAAAGAAAAACTACAGCATAAATATTATTTGTAATCAGTTTTTGCCAAGAGGTTCCCAGCACATGACTTATGTAAAAATAATAATTATATTAATAATAAATAAATTAAGGCAATATAAAAATACAGTTTAGCTGTTCGGCTATACCACATTACAATATGTTAAAAACTCATACATTTTGATTTGATTGGGGTGAGCTCAGACATTTTTTGTTCAGACTGAAGAGTATTCCAGGATCATAGATATATGTTCCAGGATAAGGGGCCGGATTGATAAGGCTCGCTTCCCTATTTCAGTTCATTTGTAGATTCCTGGTATCAAGGGCTTGCCCTTTACAAAGCAAAAGAAAAAGACTTCGATCGTTCTTCAAGTTCTTCTCATGATTGGCCACTAGAGGGCACTGTTGCTCTGAATTACCAACCATCAGTCAACAGGTGCAGGATCTCCCAAGTGTCTTCAGTTCAGCGCACATTTACACATTAGCATGCGTCTTCATTTGAGGTCAAACGACAGATCTCAGAAGTTTTGCGCTTCCACTTGAAAAACGTATATAGGATTACTCATAGAGTCGATTTTTTGGTCTAAAATGATAATTGAACCACTCCACAGTCTAACGGTTTGGTCATTTTTAACGTTCATCCTTTGCAGGTCAGACTGGGAAACTAGCTAATGACATTGCTAATTGTTGGCTTGCAAACGTGGTTTCGTATTTCCCCCTCTATTTTTAGCGGCAGTATGAATAATAATTTTATACTTACACAATCATTAATCTTCATCTACAGTGCTCAATGTCCAAATTATACCAGCAGCAGTTCAAACTGACAGAAAGTGACCTAAACATGGCGCATATGTGGTGCAACTTTTCCCGCTCTGCGCGTCTCGTTTGCAATTCAGTGGCAGAGAGAAACACGACGAGAGCTGCTACAACTGAGAAAGTAAGATTAGTTTATCAAACGTGTGCATATGTAGGACTATTTCATGACTGCGTCTGAAAAAAAAAATCTTATGTTTAATTTAGCAGTACTCTGAGGGGTCAGGGAAACTGATGCGGAATAATTGGACGCAGAGGGAATCCATACCAATTTGTGATTTCAGAATCTACTTGAGAAATTAGATGTCAGTGCAAATATGAAATTGCTCCTCAATGTTTTCAAAGATTGTATGAAAATTTAAGTATAAATCTTAAGTATTCACAGCAAAGGGATTTCGCTCTTCTCTCTTTGCCAACTTGAAATGCAACCCAGTGAAATTGTCAGGACGCAGGAGGAGGCGAGCCGTGGAGTTAAAGCAGTGCCATGCAGTCATGATTGGGCTATAAAGAGTCTTATTTTTATTTCATTATTTCTCCCTTTTCTCTTGAAAGTGCTGTAGATTCCTGGTATCAAGGGCTCGCCTTCATTTTTTCATGCATTTGAAAAGTATAATTAAAGAATAACTGTATCCAACTGTGAAAAGGCATGAAATACTTCCAGCGTTGTGGTATCTAGGTCTTGTGCGTAATTAGATACCCAGTAAAAGCAAAACTAATTACAATTAACACTATTAGTTATTACTTTTGTAGGACAGGAACATGTTTTTCCCTCTCATTCTTTCCAGGAATATCTATTTAGCGCTGTTTCAAGCACGTTTTTAGGGTATCCTAAAATTCTGGTTATATTTAATGTTTGTGTTTATTCCACATGGACACACAACGAAGCAGACATGCAAAACAAGATCATTTTGGTAAGCTTATTTCATACTGACACTCTTAAAAACGACTTCATTTGTCCTCATTAATAGCTTAAAAGTCCATGAATAAATAATCGTTAAAGATGATACTTTTTGCTTTATGTTTAGCTAAACAAAAAGTGCACAGAAACAGAATGAATATGAGCGTTTATTTCTGAGCCCACCCCTGCAATCTGATTTAGACAACTGACACACACCTTTACACACACTCCCAGTTTCACAGGAGGAAAAAACCTTGCATAGTTAGACCTTTAGATGAGAGTAAATTCAATTAACTGAGGGTGGTTGGTGCTTTTCCTCACTTCTGAATCTGTTAGCCAAGTAGACTCCAAACTTAAAAAGGAGAGAAGAAAGGAAAAGAGAGCAAA